TTACACTGGGGAGCTGAGCCTCGGAGCAGAGGGAATTGGGGGAATAATCCTTGCGTTTGAAGCAGCTCCTAGCACCAAGTCAAGACACCGCAAAGCACCTTGCAGGAATTATTTTTACTTTAAAAAGTAACTGTGTATTTTGTGCACCCCCTCACACCCATTTCACACTCACTCCAGCCTTTACACACACCCTCACACCCATACCCTCTCTCCACCCTCACACCCACACCCTCTCTCCACCCTCACACCCACTCACATTTTGAGAAAACCTTTCTGTTTTCCCCGCCCAGGAAGAGCCATTGGGAGGCATTGGGAAACGGGTTCAGATGTGCTTGTTGAGGTTGGTTCTCGGTGTGATGGACAGTGACCAGCCCCCAGGCCGCCTCTTGCTCTGTGTCAGCCACACAATGTCTCTGAGCTCCCACAGTCCCCAATTCCTGACTCCCCACGGACTCTGGCTATAGCCCCTGCCAGACGGCAGTGACGCAATCTCAGCTCAGGCTGCCCTGACAGCATGTGAACAACAAGCCCCCACCACCCTCACTGCCTCCCCCTCGCCCCGCACTCACACACACACCCTCACTGCCCCCTTCCCCACACACACACACACACATCCTCCGGCTCGGTGTCGTGCTCTGTCACTGTCGAGCGCTCTGGGATGCTCCCCTGCGTGAGGAGCGCTGTGTAAAATGCAAGTTGTTGTTGCTGTGTTGCTTGTGTCCTCTCTCAATCTCTCCCTCTTTGTCTCTGTCCTAATCTCTCTCTCCCTCTCTCTGTCTCTTTCCCTCCCTCTGTATCTCTCTCTCTCCCTCTGTTTCTCTGTACTAATCTCTGTCCCAGTCCTGCCAGCACTGCAATACCCTCTGTGTTCTGGGGACTGAATTCAGCTCATAGCTGAATATGACCAATGGGCTATATTTACTCTGCCTTTGCCGGGATGGTGTTAGATGGCATGTGGGGTGCCTGGCCGAGTGGAGATCAGCGGAATTTTCATCTTCATTTCATCTGTCTGAATCCAACAACACAATATAAGCTCCCCCCCACACCCCCCCACACCCCCGCACATTGTAACACACACACACACCCACACGTACATTCACACACACAGCTGCAGACACAGCGGGAGGTGCTGTGCTCAGCGATGGCTACATCTGTGCTGTTTCTGTGCCGCTTATTGAACAGCTGGGAATCAGCTGAACTTGGAGACCTTTTATCTCTTGTCCTCACGTCTTATTTACACATCTGTCTCAGTCCCACGGTTTCTCTATCTCCAACTGTCCGCCTCACACCTTCACTCGCCTCTATCTCCAACAAGAAATTTATAAATTCCTTACGTTTCATACCATGCCTGAACACAGACACACACACACACAACTCAAAATGCTTCACAGAATTCACTGCGTACTTTGTAAACAAATGAGGAAGCCAATTTAAGCCCAGCAATGTCCCCCAAACAGTGAAATAATATTAATAATAATCCTTGCATTTGATATAGCGCTTTTCACGTCTTCGTAAAGTGAATTGACCATATATTTGTGGGCGGAACACGGCAGCCAATTAGCCACAGCAATGTCCCACAAACAGTTGTGGATTGAAAATGACCAATTTCTTATTGTTTTTTTTTGGAGGGATTATTATTAGGCTCTGTGTGGAGTAAGGAAACTTGCCCGAGGTTTCGCCCTCTGCCTGGAATTGAACCCAGGTGTCTCGCTTGCAAGGCGAGTGCTCCAACCACTGAGCTACAGGACTCCACAATGAATGAATGACTGGTTTTATCTGGGAGGATTGTTGGGTTTCGACCGCGCCTTCGGTCATCTTCCCTCCTCTGCCCTCCACCCCCTCCTCTGGTCCCAACTACCAGCTCATCTGCAAACTGTCCAGCACTTTGGGATGTCATCCTGATGTGAAAGGCGCTGTGTAAACACAAGTTGTTGTTGTTGTATTGATGTTTTTCCACCCACACTCTACAGTGTTCCTCCCTCTCGCTCCAGGCTATTGTCTCCCATCTGATCACGGGAATCTGATTCATCCCGTCTCCTCTACTCTCCCTCAGGGCATCACACCCTGGGCCTGGGTTTGTCAGTAACAATGTAATAATCCTCTCTATGGGGAAGTGAGTCAGTCCTTGGGGTGTTTATGAGCTTCAGTTAGTCATTTGGCTGGGTTTCTAATGGTTTGCTTTTAATAAATAAGTAAAGAGCCAACTCCCTGGAGAGCCATGGGGAAGAGAGGCAGACAACGAGTGAGGGAAAGAGGGAAGAAAAGGGCAGGAGAGAGATAGAGGGAGGGAGTGAGGGAGAGTAGGGAGGGGGCAGAACCCTCTATGTTTACCCCCCACCGTCCTCACATGCAGTTGTAATCACAGCAAAACTAACACATTGGATATTTGGGAGGTAAAGGCTATTAATTCAGTAGAGTTGGAGAAAATAGAGTAAACGATTTACTACAAACTGATGTGCCAGAGCAGTGATTGCACACACGCGACTCCCCCCCCCACACACACACACCGTCTGTCTCACACACACATACAGCCTGTGTCACACACAGACCCAGGTCCCTGAAGCTGCTCAGAGATGTGTGTGTTGTCACATGTGGAGTTTAGTTTCAGACTTGGGTTGTTTCTGTAAAGGAATTGAAGCGCGGGCGGGGGTGGCTGTGAGGGGTGAGATCTGCCTTTGATGTAAATGAATCCTGAAGGCAAATGAAAAATTGTTTGTTTGTACAATGCAAATCATAGGGCTGTGGGGATCCAGAGATTAGCTGAACAGCAACAGAAAGAGAACATCTGCTGTGTGGAGTGGCCACACAGTTACTGCACATGCACATGCACACATACACACCGACACTGTTACTAAACACATACAGTTACTGCACGTTCGTCTCTGTCACTTTCTCTGGTGACTTTTGTTGTTTGCTATTTGCTACTATGCTGTTGGAGTGTGTATCTGTCTCACAGCCGGTTACGGGGATTAGAAGCCCCAGAATTCTCCTGGTCTCAGCCATAAAACCATTCTCCTAAAGTGACATTTTTTAGAAAATTGTTGAATTCAGTTTTCCACAGTTCTTAAAATATGCAAAATAAAGCTCCTCTACACTGTGCGTCCACACTCCCAGGTCAGGGTTAGAGACACAGTAAAGCTCCTCTACACTGTCCATTCACACTCCCAGGTCAGGATTAGATCCAGTAAATGCCCCTCTACACTAGTCTAAAGAGGTGACACAGTTGGAGATAAAGACAAGCAGTTTTTCTTAAGGTAAGAGAAATGTGTAAGTTTACCTGTACAAAAATCCTGCTGCAAATGGACATCAGTGAGGGGGAAGGATGGTTTGTCTGACAGCATCTGTCTCCCAACAATTTGTTCTCAATGCAATCTGACAGATACAGAAACAACGGCATCATTACCTGGAGATGGTGACTTGTTATCAGCTGCTTTTATACGTGACATTTTATTAATTTCCATTTTATCTCAATGAACAAAGTAGAAACAGGGGAATGTCCGATGCCTGTCACTGATGTCCTGTCACTGTATGGCGGTGGGGCATCTGGGAGGTGTGAGTATCGGGGAGTGAGGCGTGAGGCTCAGGCTCCCCCCCCCCACACACCCCACATACATACATAGCCACATCCCTGGGATCTTTGAGTCAACTCTATACCCAGTCCGACACAGTGACAGATGACTTACTGTTAGTATCTATGCTCTGTTGTCCATCTCTTTCATCATTGTGAAACGAGCAACTATTTTGGGGTTAACATACCAACTGGATATTCCTTCCTCTATTACAGTTTTTAACGATACAAAATGTCACATAAACAAACATGTGTTTATAATTATATTCAGGTTCTGATACTTTCCCTCCAGCCAGGGAGCATCAGAACAAATAATTTTGCCCAGAGAGAAAACTAAATTAAAGTTGGGGCCAGTTTCTTTATTAACCTAAATGTGACATTCCCTAAACCCAACTCTCCATCCCTGTGTGTCACTCAGCCCAACATGGGAACATAGGAACAGGAGGCCATTCAGGCCCTCGAGCCTGTTCTGCCATTCATAGAATCATAGAATTACGCAGCACCGGAGGCCATTCAGCCCATCATGTCTGTGCCGGTTCTTGGAAAAGAGCTTCCAAATCAATCCCACTCCCCCATTCTCTCCCCATAGCCCTGAAAACTTGTCCTCCCCCAAAAATTATCCACTTCTCTCTTGAAAGTTGTTCTTGAATCGGCTTCCACCAGCCTTTCAGGCAATGCATTCGAGTTTGAAGAAAGTATGAAAATTTGAATGGATCCAATATCCACAGCCGTTTCGCCCACAAAATACAGTCACTACACTTTACAATATATTCTGCGAAGCTCTTTGAGACGTCTTGAAGACATGATGTGGCGCTGTGTGAAATGCAAGAATTATTAGTATTATTATTTGGGGGAGAGAGAGAGTGTGTGTGTGGGGGGGGGAGGGATAGAGAGTGTGTGTCTGTGTGTTGGGGGGGGGGGAGGGATAGAGAGTGTGTGTGTGTGTGTGTTGGGGGGGGGGCGCCAGGCTGTGTCTCCCACCCTGACTAACGCAGTGTGTGATGTTGTGTCGGCAGGTGGTGTGGGCTGTGCAGTGACGCCTCTGAACCAGAAGAGGGCGACTCCGAGGCTCGCGTTTGATGCTGATGACGGTCTAATGCTATAGTGAGGAACCGGACTTCACTGTGTGGGACAGAGAGAGGGAGAGAGAGCATCAGAACAGAGCTCAGCACAGGGAGAGAGAGCAGCACAGGGAGAGAGTGGCACAGAGAGAGAGAGCAGCACAGGGAGAGAGAGGCACAGAGAGAGAGAGAGGGAGAGAGCAGCACAGGGAGAGAGAGCAGCACAGGGAGAGAGAGCAGCACAGGGAGAGAGAGCAGCACAGGGAGAGAGAGCAGCACAGGGAGAGAGAGCAGCACAGGGAGAGAGAGCAGCACAGGGAGAGAGAGCAGCACAGGGAGAGAGAGCAGCACAGGGAGAGAGAGCAGCACAGGGAGAGAGCATTCAGAGCTCATCACAGGGAGAGAGAGAGAGAGGTCAGAGCTGAGCAGATCGAAGCCATAAGGTACCTCTCCCCAAACTGCCCGCAGACCCCCAGAGCTCCGCATCCCTCGCCCACAGGCGCTCACAGCGCAGGGGGTGGATGGGCAGTTCGCAGATCCCATCGCAGCATAAGATGGATTTAAAGCGGTGGATTTAATCAGATTTGTACCTAAAACCTCGGACAACAACTGCAACAGACATTTAAAGCGATTGCTCGGCGGTGTAACGCGGCACTTGTCACTGTGCTGATGGCCGGGGGGGTCCGGGCTGGAGAGTCGCACAGACGTCTCTGCAGAGGCTCGGGAGCCGCGGGGGTCAGACACGGGAACACTCCGGGGGTCTCCGAGGGCAACAACCCCACCCCGAGGCTCTGTGTCGCTTTCCTCCTCATCCTCCTCACTCTGACACCCCGAGTGGAGCCGTCATGGTGGTGAGTGCACGACTGAGCGAAGTCCCTCCGAGATACACTGACACAGAGACACACACAGTGACACAGAGAGAGACACACAGTGACACAGAGAGAGACACACAGTGACACAGAGAGAGACACACAGTGACACAGAGAGAGACACACAATGACACAGAGAGAGACACACACTGACACAGAGAGAGACACACACACTGACACAGAGAGCGACACACACAGTGACAGAGAGAGAGACACACACTGACACAGAGAGAGACACACAGTGACACAGAGAGAGACACACAGTGACACAGAGAGAGACACAATGACACAGAGAGAGACACACACTGACACAGAGAGAGACACACACACTGACACAGAGAGCGACACACACAGTGACAGAGAGAGAGACACAGTGACACAGAGAGAGACACACAGTGACACAGAGAGACACACACTGACACAGAGAGAGACACACACTGACACATAGAGAGACACACACACTGACACAGAGAGAGACACACAGACAGACAGACATAGAGAGAGACAGATACAGAGAGAGACACAGACACAGAGAGACACAGACACACAGACACAGTCCCTGTGTTAAGCACTGTGTTGTGTAGCTGTAGGACTGTGGACGCTGATGGATTCTCTCGCTATCTTTCGTCTGTCCGAGCGATAAGATTGTCAGTGACTGTAAAACATACCTATTGTGCTGATCATATCCCACAGCTCTCTGTCTCACACACACACTCAAGACACTTCACTGAGCTCCAGGTAGCTTTGCAGGGAATCATTGGATTTTATTTTCGTGCTTTTTATTAGTATAATAAACAAAATAATAATCCTTGCATTGGATACAGCGCCTTTCACGTCTTCGAGGCATCTCAAAGTGAATTGACTGTATATTTGTGGGCGAAACCCGGCAGCCAATTGCTTACAGCAGTGTCCCACAACCAGTCGTGGATTGAAGTGACCAAATTATTTTCTTGAGGGATTATTGTTAGGCGCGTGGAGTAAGGAAACTTGCCCAAGGTTTCGCCCTGCCGGGAATCAGACCCAGGTCTCTCGCTTGCAAGGCGAGCGCTCTAACCACTGAGCTACAGGACTCCAAGTATTATTATTACATTTTTTGTTTTATTATTGTTGTTAAATTAAGGGGCTGAAGTGAGCTCAGGTCCTGACTGAATCAGTGTCTCTCTCTACAGTTACCCTCACTATTGTGGGGCTGTTACCTGTTCTCGCCACTTTCCCATCTCAGCGTCCATCTCCTCTCCTCCCCTCCTCTCCCTCACACACGTTTGTCCAGAGCACACATTGCTCAGGTTTCCAGCGCCTACATTCCTGCTGTGAGAATATATAAAACATTTTGAGTTATTGCCTGGTGTCTGAGGGTCGCTGTGGGTGTCTGACTGCCTGGGGTGGCGGGGCTTCCCGCAGCCTCTGCGAACACAATGACCATCGCAGCTCCCTCAATTCCAATATTCTCACAGTCCAGTCTTAATATTCCCAATGTCCAGTACCAGTATTCCCAAATGTCCCAGGCTCAGTGATGGGGGGGGGGGGGGGGGGGGGGCGGTGATGTTATTACAAGAGAAATTTTGAAAGAGAAGTGACAAAATAAATCTGCTACATTTGTGAATGTATTGATCTGGAGATTCCTGTGCTCACACTGACCAGGACGTGTGATCGATCGTTAAAACCTTATTCGGTCATCAATAATAATAGTAATAATCCTCGCCTTATCGTGTCTTCAAGACCTCGCAAAGTGCTTCACAGGATGTACTGTAAAGTGTAGTGACTGTGTGTTTTGTGGGTGATTGAAAGTGATGAAGGAGGTGAGTTGGGGGAGTTTTGTGTGTGACATTCACAGGAAGGATGTCGTGTGTGTGGATGCTTGTGTCTATTTGTGTTGTTCTGTGAGGAGATAGAGAGACACATTGCAATGTGATAAGTCCTGGAGGGTCACTGTGTGACTAAATGGTCAGATTAGAAATGTGCAACACTTTCTGCTTTAAACTTTGAAAATAAAATACTCATTTCAGTTCACGAATGTGGGTGAGGGTGAACTCAGTGTGTGTCTGTCTGTGCCCTGGTCACTGTGAGAGAGAGAGATTATTAACCATTCATGGTTAAATTCTGGGATATTCACAGGCTGAGCAGTTTCCAAAATTAAGTAACATAAAATTAATTCTACTCCCCCCCCCACCCACTATACCCTCCCACTCCTCACCCTACCCTCACACTAAACATCCCCAGTCCCCGTACAACAACCCTCACCGCGGCACTACACACTGTCCCACCCTATACACCCTCCACACACTGTACAACACCTCACCCCACCCCCACACTATACCCCCCTCAGAATCCCACTATGAGCTACCCTGCCCCTTACGAGCCTTGTATATATATATTTTTTTGAACATTTGTCTAATTCATCCTTAAAAAGCTGTGATGGATTTTGCTATAATCAGTATTTTTGTTAGGATTTCCCAAGACCCCCCACCCCCCGCCGTGTAACACTGCTAACCTCTCACACTGGGTTTCTGGTGATAAATGTACAGCCTCCAGTTACTGACTTTCCCACCAGTGGAAATCAATCTCTTTATTTATCAGAACCACTTGTGACTGTGAGAACCTCTATCAGATCTTCTCTCAACCTTCCCTACTTTCTAGTCAAAACAGCTCCAATTTTTCTCCTCACAAGTGAAACCTCTCAACAATTAATCGCTGCTCTTACCTTCATGAATCTCTTCTGTAGCCTTGACACCCCCTAAAAATGATTATTTTCTAAAAGTACAACATGATTCTTCTGGAAGGGGTGGTGGGGGGTGGGGTTAGTTGGGGAGTAAGTGAGGTCTGTTTAGGGCTGAATTGGCTTCAAGGTGACATGCCTGGCAATGGAATGTCAGGATCGAGCCACCTGTGAGGGTCTCTCGTCTGGTTCCTGAGCCAGGAGGGACCATGGTATTCCAGGGCATTGATGATGACAGCACAGCCCGGCCTGGCTCATCGGCAGGACCTGGAAGGGCAGACCAGTCACTGGGGGCTGGGAATCCTCCCACTCAGCTCCTGTTAACCCTGCAGCCAAAGTTCTAACTGGAAGGGTGGTCCTTGCTGGACAAGGAGTGTTTTGTTTGGGGCAGGGGAATGGGATCTTGAAATGTTCCACTAAATGATCTTCTGGTTGAAAGGTTTGCCCACAAAGTATACAGTCAATTCACTTTACAGTATATCCTGAGAAGCGCTTTGAGACGTCTCGAAGACGTGATGAGGCGCTGTATCAAATATCAGGATTATTATTATTAAAGTTGCTGTGGACTGTGAGGTGCTGAGTCTCTGTGTCTCTCCGGCAGGTACATTGGGGCGCTGGGAGCTCGTGTGATCTGTAACAACATCCCCGGTTTAGTCAACAAACAGCGGCAGTTGTGCCAGAGACACGCCGATATCATGCAGTCCATCGGGGAGGGCGCCAAAGAGTGGATCCGGGAATGTCAGCACCAATTCCGACACCACCGGTGGAACTGCAGCACTTTAGCCAGAGACCACACTGTGTTCGGCAAAGTCATGCTCAGAAGTAAGTGGGCAACAAGTGTGTGTGGTGTTCGTGTGTGTGTGTGGATGTAGGTGGGTGGTGTTTGTGTGTGTATTAAATAATCCTTACGTTGGAGCTGTTTCTCTCAGCCTCTCACTCACTCACTCTTTCTCTCTCCCCCCTCACTTCCTTGTGCTATTTTAAGACGACATTAACCTGACTTCACACCACACCAACACTCCATCCCTGTTGCCAACACTGTGTGAAGCCTGAAGTGGGAATAGCGTAGTTTGTTAGTGTGTTTTTCTTTTACAATGTGTTGTTTTGGTGCCTCATTAACACTCACACTTGTGTTCCTGCGATGCCAGAGATATGTGTCTGACATGTGCGGAAACCCATCACTGTGTCCAAACCAAGCTGAGATTTCCTCGCCAGAAAGAGAGAGTGTTTAATGTGAGCGGGACCAAGTGCTTACAGTATAGAGGCCCTGCTGTGACACAGCTGGAATGCGCTGGTAATAGATGGCTGTCAGGAGGCAGGCGGGCGGGCGGGAGGTAGTGTAAACGCCACACACTCTCTCTCTCTTGGTGCCGGGGCGGATTTACTGCTGTTTATGTTGCTACGAGAGCAGTTATTTGCTATCAGTAAATTAAGTCATTGCCTCACGACTCCTCAACTAGAAATAAAACGTGTTATAAATGCAGCATAAACAGCCAAAGTTTTATCAGAAATGCTAATAAATATTCCCCGGACACTCACTAATGTTCACAATAAACACACAGCTGTTTATGGCTAACTTGTTCTAAAGTGGAAGTTTTATGTGAAAGCAAGAGACGGTTCTTCGCTCCTCTCGCTCTCCGTTCTCCTCCTCTTGCTCTCTTGTTCTCCTCCTAACTCTCTCTCCGTCTCCCTCGTTCCCTCGCTCTCTGCCTCCCTTGCCCTCCGCCTCCCTCACCCCCTCCCCTCTCTGTCTGTCTCTCTCTCCCGGCCGCACAGGGCTGTGGGTCAGGCTGTCACCCTCAGCGACCGCCTGAGAGGATCTGAAACACAGACCCCGGAGGAGGGTCTTAGGGGTTTCAAAGCAGCGAGAGAGGGGCTTTGGGAGAGAGGGGCTTTGGGAGAGAGGGGGGTGCAGGAGGCAAAGCACTGTATAACACTGACCCTGCCCGCTGCCCACTCCCCCCACAGGCAGCCCTGAGGCGGCCTTTGTGTACGCCATCTCCTCGGCTGGGGTGGTCCACGCCATCACCAGAGCCTGCAGCCAGGGGGAGCTCCACAACTGTAGCTGCGACACACACGAGGGGGACAAGAAACACAACACCAAGAGAGAGTACGACTGGGGCGGCTGCAGTGACAACATCAAGTACGCCATCAACTTCTCCAAAGTGTTTGTGGACGCCAAGGAGAAGAAAGAGAAGGACGCCAGAGCACACATGAACCTGCACAACAATCGCTGTGGGAGGACAGTAAGTGCTGACCACACCCCCCCTCACCACGCCCCACGCCCTCCTCCTAAGGAACATCCCAAAGTCTCTCTCCTCTTGCCTCGAGGACCAGTCTTATTAACCGGTCCCCAGACACATGCCCACCCTCTGCCTCCCACGTATGACCCTGTACCATGCTGACTCCCCCCGCACACACACATACATCTTGAAGCTGACACATGTTGATCTCTTTCTCCTGTAAAAAAAGTGAGCTGCACATCTGCTATAGGTTGTGTTGGGCTGTCAGCCAGCCCAGAACAATTGGTATCAGATGCTATAAACCTCCAAACATCTACATGTTTGAAACGTGTGCCTCGAGAGCTCAATTATTAATGATTTTTAAATCAATTTAAAATAATTCTCAACAAATGATAGTTTTTTTGAACTTCACTTTTCAAAAAGTTACGTTTTTCAGCAGTTGGAAATATCCTGATTATTATTATTATTACTTCCCAGTAGGAAATATTAGGAAACATTTCACTCACTGTATCATTCTTCGACTTTCACTTCATTCCTATTGGAGAAACACAAAGTTCCTGGAATTCCTGCTGCTCATTTGGTCAAAGAATATTGTTCATTTCATCTTCCAGAACCTCACTCCTCTCGTCTTCACACGACAGCATGAACGTCCTGCCATTAACCTGCTCCACCAGTTGCTGTCTCCTGTCTGTGTAAAGAAATACTTCCTGGTGCCTGTCCTAACCTTTTCCAGATGTGCTCAGCTAGAAATGCTTTCTCAACACATTTCTCTGTGTATGTCAGCCTGTATGTCAGACTTCAGAGTCAAAAAGTTGTGGGTTCAGGCCCCACATTGGAGACTTAAAGCTTAGTCTAGGCTGACACCTCAGTCCAGTGTTTGGGGGGGTACATTGTTAGAGATATCATCCTTCAGAGGAGACATTAAACTGCGCTCCTGTCTATCAGCACTTTAATGATCCCTGTTGGCCTTATTCGAAGAGGTTATTTTGGGGACACCTTTCCGGGGATATCTAAGGATGTCTCCTTATTCCCCTCCTCCCATTCCCCTCACCTGGTCTGTCAGGAAATATTTTCTCCTAAGGAAAGCCAGATGTTCCTAGCGGAGAACCTGGTATTGTTGCTCTCTGCGCTGTGTGGCACCTAAAAAGGAACTGTGGAGACAGTCGTGTCCAAAAAGCTCCTGAAATGGGCAGCTGCAGTGATTGGGATCCCGGCCAACAGAGGCATTGCCAGCAGCAGGAAGTCATTCTCACATTCGAGAATACAAACATGCTGATGCTGTTCACTTGTGTGCGTTCCCATTGTTTATAGCACGTGTGTAGGTGTGAGTGAGAGCTTCAGGCTGGGCTGAGAGCTCGTTGGGGAGAGGTAAGTCCTAGTCCCTGTCCCTGGGGGGTTAATGCTGTCACTTTTCCGTCTCACCAGGCGGTGAAACGCTTCATGAAGCTGGAGTGTAAATGTCACGGAATCAGTGGCACCTGCACTGTTCGCACTTGCTGGAATGCCATGTCGGACTTTAGAAAAACCGGGGATTACCTGCGGAAACGGTACCACTTAGCCGTGCAGGTCACCATGAACCAGGATGGCACGGGATTCACCGTGGCTAACAGGAGGACTGCCCAGCTCATGAAAACCGAGCTGGTTTACTTCGAAAACTCCCCCGATTATTGTGTCCTGGATAAAGCTATAGGTAAGCTTAATGTGCTCCGGGACCCTTCCCCGCATGAAGGGCACTGTATAAATATAAGTTGTTGTTGTAAGTCTCGGCTCAGTCACTGTAAAAAAAAAAATGGAAAGGGGAGGCGGAGGAGTGGGTGCAGGGGTTGGGGGGGTGCGGGTGGGCACGGAGGTAAGGGGAAATGTGCCAAAAGTGAAGCTATCTCCTCAATTATTTTAACTCATCTCCAAAATTTTCCCGAGTTCAGATTTAAGATTTATATTTAAAAAGTAACATTTTGGAGAATTGCAAAACATTATTTTGAATTATTCTTAATTCGGAAACCAGTTTTCTGTCCCTGTCAGGATATGGATATTCCTGACTCTCACGTTGCTCATCTTCCGGGCAGGAAGATAGCATTCTGAGACGCCGTCCAGTGTGGAGGGCGCTATGTAAATCCACGTTGTTGTTGACGACAGGCTCCAGGGGGTGAGGGGAAAGTGTAGCATAGATACCAGGAAGTATTTCTTTACACAGAGGATAATTAACAGGTGAAAAAGAGTGGTCAGGAATGGGAGTCTTTTAAGAAACAGCTTGATGCTGTGATGGGAGAAGATAGAGTGGATATGGGGTGTCAGAGCCCTGGGAAGTCTTTCCGATCTGGAGGGCGCTATACAAGTGTCATTTGTTATTGTTGTGGATATTCTACAAGATGAGATCAACGGTGGAAAGGGATCTGTGTCCACACACCTGTTGTGATTTCTCCCCTTGTTGCTGTAGGCTCGCTGGGCACAGCAGGGCGTGTGTGCAATAAGTCGTCGCGAGGAACAGATGGCTGTGAGGTGATGTGCTGTGGTCGGGGCTATGACACCAGACGAGCCACACGTGTGAGCCAGTGTGAGTGTAAGTTTCACTGGTGCTGCACAGTCAGGTGCCGCGACTGCCAGGAGATGGTGGACGTCCACACCTGCAAAGCTCCCAAACGTGCTGACTGGCGAGACCAAACCTGAGATCACCAGCAGCCTGGCTTTAAGGACGGGAAACGCGGAAGGGAGGCCGGTGACACTCAGGAGCCTTCTTTACAGCTTCAGCTTCTCCACTAATTGTGCAAAGTTACTAAAGACTGAAGTGCAGCTGCCTGGGACCAATGCCAACACTGCACATGCTCAGCACATCTCCGCATGTTCCTCACTGACTGAGGAACAGCCAATATAAAGCTTCAATCCTAAAATCTTACCATTTGCAATGTTTTTAAACGTGGGACAGTGCAAAAGCGCTCATTGTACGAGAGCTTTCAACGCCCTCCTTCCATATTGGTCAAGAAGTGAAGCCTCTCCTATCGACAGCACAAACTGCATCTAACGCTTCATCAAAGCCGCGTTTGGTCCATGAAAAGCCGATGGTGACAACTTGCTCCGAAGGAGGTGATTTTTGTAAGTGGCGGATTAGTCGAGGCAATTGTATTTTTCTGTGTTAACAGGATAGTCTGCACTATGAACATTAGGTGAGAGACGGAGAGGGAGAGAGAGAGAGACACTTGGGTTGGTGCTGATCTACCTGTGGACTGGAACGGTCGAGAACAATGTGCTCTCTGCTCAACACTGGGCTCGGGCTCATTCCACAGGTTCCAACCAACAGGGCAACAAACCGGGACTTTTGTTAAATATTATTTCAATGTAACAATTCATATCACGCTATGAGTATAACTAAGACTTGGCAATTTCCCAGTTGCTGTTTGTGTGAGCAACCAAAATCCAAGTGAATGTGGCCAACGCAACAATAATAAATTATATTTGTAGAGCACCTTTCACGTCGGGAGGACATCCCAATGCAACAACAAACAGCTCAACCAATGCTGGTAATTCAGGCCCCTGACATTGTATGCGGCTCAGTCTGGCCATAGAGATGCCCAATACTGCCTCGCTGGAGCTCGTCACTGAACCAGGGGGCAGTGCGCAGGGGAACTTTCTACTGTCAGCCCATCAGAAAGCTTCAGTCAGGATCTAATGCAATAGTTTTCCATTACAAATAACAAATAAACTGACACCTTAATGTTAAATGCTAACGTATAAAATTCTGTCCGATGTCCAATAGCCCGCTCAGCTAGTTTCACTCCCCCGAGGAACAGCACTAGCACACACACTGTAACATCATCACATAGTGACAGGATTAATGGCAATTCCCCTCCCATTCACAATTTATCTTTGGCTTGTTTCTTCTGTCATGGATTTGGGAACAAACATTTTATTTATTTTGAGTGAGTGTGTGTGTCAGTGTGTGCGAGAGAGAAAGAGAGAGTCAGTGTGCAGGTGTATAAAGGGGAGGGTGATTGGACTGGGACAGAATCCTTTTCCATCCCACCCAGGTTAGTGTCTCCTGGTACTGAGCACTTGTATTGAATGATGTTGGGAGGTGAGGGGTGAGGACAGGGAGGTAATGAGGATAAAGGAGGTCAGCTTTGTGCTGATGAACAGGCCCTGGGGCTAGTGTGGGTCAGAACCTCTTGGCTCCTCTGCTCACCTGACAGAATTCCACTGATCTGGTCTCTCAGGCTGAGCAGCCCCAGGGCAGCAAACAGCAGCTGGGCTGAGGAATGCATTTGTCCCCCTTCGCTTCCCTGTCCCCCATTACTAACTAATAAACAGTTAGTGTGGAGTCCTGGGGCTATGGAGTGAGAAGCAGCCACTTGACTAATGGCCGTATCAAATACTAGCTCATGAGCTCTCACAGCAAGTCCAATACACACATAATATAGGAACAATATATTAATGGTAGATTTTGGCTTCGCACATGATGAACAACAGCAACAAATTAGCGCCTTTCAAGTCAGGACAATGTCCCAAAGCGCTGGACAGTCAGGGATCCGCATTTGTTGAAGTACCTGGTATATACTGCCATCAACCTCCAAACCCCCATCTCCCCACCCAGCTCAAGTCAACACCCTGAGGAAAAATAAGTGAATAAAATGGGGCGAGAAAAAGGGAGACCTGGCTTAGCATTCCGGGATTCTGGGAAGACACTAAACTTCTTTCACCTATTCCTGGTCAGTCAGAAAAGCTGAGAAAAGTATAACAATAATCCCTGCATTTGATGCGAGAGAAAAGTGCTGTTCATGTGGTTGGCGTCTCCCTGAAGTGGGGCTCAAACCTACAATCCTCTGCTTCAGGGGCCAACGTGCCTCTGACTGAGCCAATGTGACAGCAAAGTAAGAGAAAGCCGCCAACTGTCTGTGACACAGGTAGACCTTGAAGTGATTACTGGTCTGTTATCTTCCCCCATTTGATCCCACTTTCTAATCTCACTCTGGCCACCTCTGCACTTGGATATTGCCACGTCACCTTCAGTTTATAAAGTTAAAGAATTTTCTTTTCCAAAACAAATGGCATTAATTTCCAACCCGATGGGTGTTGTATACAGGCCCAGCCCTGGCCTCTGTGAGAATGATAATTCTGATGACAGTTTATTCCTTCAGTAACTACAGCCATTGATCTATCTAAACCAGCTCTTGTCCAGCAGGTCACCAGATCATTAAAAAACAGAGCAATTTCATGCTAAAATAAAATCCATTGTCCAATAACAGAGACAGACAACTGGTGGCTGCAACACATGTCACTGTCAGAACAGCCAGATCACAACTATGTATTTCTGACATTCAAGTCCTGTCATCAGATGCTCTCTTTATATCGGCTCTAGCTGTTTGCTTGTCATGCGGACGTGATGTGAACTATTACTGTGTTGAGCTTCGAGGCCCCCTTGGTACAGAAACTATCACATAATGGTTACAGATACTTTGCTTCACCCCAAAAAAATGTTCTGGGACCTTAATCTGACCCGCTATGTTACTGTTTGGGAGACGGGAAAGATATTAGATAATTCATGATTATGTCACCATGAAACACGCAGACACTTACCCTCAGTCTTGTCACTTACAAATTTGCTGTGTGAATTATTTCCTGGTGATCCGTCTGCCTTCCGACAAGTCTCTCTGTACAAGTGGTTTGCGTGACGCACATTATTCCAGAATGATTCAAACTTCAGCCAAACAGCAGCCAGAATGTAAACAGCCCATCGTGCCTCTGGCAGCTACACGGGGACATTCCTGTTTCTGAGGGAATAAAGCTTTGCCTGTCGCCAGCCAGGATCCGGGATCATAATTCAACTGGGAAAAGCGGGGAGTGACAGGACAGCGAGATGGCTACAACATACACTTGGCGCCTGAAACACGCATCACACACTAGATCATATATTACACACATGAAGCATACATCTCACACCTGAAACACATCTGGGGAGGGTGTCAATGAACACACACACATGCATATTTGTTACAACATAGGGAAGTTCGGATCATTTTGAGCTTTCTAAAAGCCTCCCCGCCTCTCCAACATGGCAACCTACCATCTATTACACTGCCAACATGGTCTCCACAAATACTCTTAATTCTCAAGCAGAAGTCTCATTTACGCTAAATGCCTTTCTGTATCTAACCCCGTGATCTCATCCCCACTCCCACAGCCACCCCATCCCACCAGATACTGATGTTCTTAGCGAGGCAGGAAAACAGCAACACAAAATCCAATAAATCATTTGAAAAAGTATTGAGCAGCAATGCTGAATCCCCGACCATGACTTAAGATCATTATCTGCACAAACAAAACGCCATAAAGTGTGGGTGATTGAGGCAAAGATTTCAAATGTCAAGTGGAGAGCAGAAGGACCCTCACCCAAACTCTGCCCTTGGTCCTATTGTTACAGCTCAAGTTACAAACCTGTTATTTATCCAGCACTCAGGGTTAGAAATAGCTGCTGCCACCCTAAGAGACTTAACACAAGAATAGAAGTGGAATCTTCCGGCAATGAGTCACCCAGTGCTGGGATATGTGTAAGCTCCTATTCATCTAAAGAACCTTGGCATTGGATGCTCCTGCTGAAAGTGATCGCTTTAATTATACCTTCCTGTCACAGGAGACAGTGAGAGAGCACAGCTTACTGGGAGATACATGGGCCATTCTTTCCATTAATAACCACACACACAAACTCTGGAATCAATTCAATGTAAAAGCATTCAATGGCATATTTGTGAAATCTAAATGAGCACAACAGACCGATTCATCACAGCAACACTTTCACAAATAAGGGTGATGGACACCTGTCAATCCAGAGGTTTGGGGAAACATATGATGGAAATCTAAACGAGATCCTGCTAAAGCCAGAGCCACAGTGTCCATCCCAGGATCTGGCACACAATGGCCAAGTACAATAACCAAACACACACTATAAGTAGCTTTGATCAGGTAAATGGAAAAACTATTTCCACTAGTCAGTGAATTGCAGACACAATGGGCAGAATGGCATATTTGGGATTCTATGTGGAACCTGCATTGAATCACTACTCGTGTACGAAATAAGACATGAAACTGCATAAGACTTAAAACAGATCATCACAACGTCAGTGTAATCTGAATTTCATTTGCTGCTTGCGGGAGAGGTGGAGTGCTGTAGAGCTTGTGAGGTAAGCAGCCCGAGCAGTAAATAAACGGTACATTATAGAGCTCCCAGGAGGGGTCAGAGGAACACACTCCTGAACACTGGAGATCACAGTGAATCATAGTCAGGCCGAACAGGGGGTTGGAAATCACATCCCTTGAGCCTTCACATTGCATTCTCCTCATACCAGATGTTTGAAAATTAATATGTTAGAGGTTTAAAAGGCGAGATGATTAGTACATTATATTCCGTTGCAAATGGTTGTGTTTCCAGGGCCAGTGTGAGCTACAGTACCAGGAGCATTAAGAGTTTCCGTCTCCGCTATTCTTCCGAAAACCAGCTCCACTAAATCAATGTATTGCTATCTGACGACACATTTAATTAAACCTGTTTTCCAATAGACATGGAATCTTTAACATCCACCTGAACGTAGGAACAGGAGGAGGCCATTCAGCCTTCGAGCCTGTTCTGCCATTTAATTAGATCATGGCTGATCTGCACCTCAACTAGTCCTTTCAATTCCAATTTCCAGCTTTCTCCCCATATCCCTTAATACCCTGAACTAGCAAAAATCTATCAACCTCACTCTTGAAGGTGTGGATGGATCAAGCATCTACAGCATTCTGGGGGAGCAAATTCCAGATTTCTACGCTCCTTTGAGTGAAAATATGCTTCCTGATTTTACTCTTAAATGGCCTGGTTCTAATTTTAAGACTATGGACCCTTGTTTTCGATTCCCCACCAGAGCAAATAACTTCACTATCTACCCTATCGAATCCTCCACCCTATTAAATACCTCAATCAAATCACCCCTCAACCTTCTAAACTCAAGAGAAAAACACAGTGCTTGCCTCAAAAGTCACAGGAAGCTCAGAAATTAGCTTAAATTCACTGTCAAATGGGAGACCAGCTTGGTTAGTGGCAGTACCTGGGCTGGACAAGCACAAGGTAATCTCCACTCATTAGTTTACTGGTCACTCAGAGATACCAGCTCAGAAACGTCAATCCTCAGAGTAACATCCAAAGCTTTTGTTTTCACCTAACACCAGAAATAAGGAAACATCTATTGTCAAGATGAAATACCGATCACCATATGCTCCATCACACTAACCAGAACCACCGTGGCTTAATGCACCTGCAGAATCAAGAGTAGCTGTGAGTGCACACACAGAGTATATACACACAGTAACCTAACACACAAAGTGCACACAGTAACCTGACACCGAGTGCACACACAGTAACCTGACACCCACACACACACACACAGAGTGCACACACAGTAACCTGACACAGAGAGCACCAATGTTTAGAACAACACGTGGACACACAGCAGAGATTACAGCAGTAAAATCACTCCTACATTCAGGTCACTTTTATCCTGTAAACCTCAAGGTAGTTGAGATCAGACCGTTCCTGAGAGCGGGTGGTGATCAGTTAATGTCGAATTCACATCGAAGTCATTGTTCCCAAAGCTAATGGAGAAACCATGACTCCATTTCACACAAACTTACAAACTCGCCCTGACTCACGGCTCAAATCAAAGGGAAAAACTCAGCCACTTCTCACAAGTTGCTTAAAATTCCACTTTAATGTTTTCAGTTCAGTTTTGATCCACATCTTCCCTCGGGAACAAACATTTTATTTATTTTGAACGGGCTGTTGTGGTGGGGGTATGTGCTGCGCTGCTCTCCCCTCGCTCCCCCCTCAATGGCCTAGGTGTCTGTGTCCCCTGACTAGCTGAGAGCTGGGTGGTGGGGGGGTGGGGGAAGAGAAGAGAAGCCAGTTTGGTCTGTTTTCTGTGAATTGTTCGTGTCAGATTCGTGTCAACTGGTGCCAGAGGCTGGAGGGAAGGACACTCTCAATCTTCTCCATCACAAAGCTGAAGGGTGCAAAGAGGGTGCTGAAGAACTGCAAGACATAAAACAGCGAGGAAGTGAAAGTTATTCACATCTTCAGCAAACGTGTCCCCTTTACATCATCCTGTACACATACAGAGCCACAGGAAATCATTCCGCACTATTACATAATACACCTCCCCTCCTTCAGCCTATAAACACTAGAGTGTGAATGTTAGGACACTGAGTATCAGTATAATCAAGGCTGCTGTGAGGCAAACAGGAACAGAGGGGTAAGGAGCGGACAGGGAGAAGTGGATTAATAAATCCTCTGAAAATAACATTCAGATTTGATCACAAGTAATTGAGTGACAAGTTCCAGGTGGAACAAGAATGTGTGCTTAGGCTCAATCACTTGCTTCTAAAGCGAAACTTCAAGTTGTTTGATTAAAGAAAGACAAGACCACTGTCTATACTTGTTGCACTCTCTTGACAATTAATCCAGCACCATATATTTAAACAGGTCTGCAAAGCATCTCCCACCCCAACTCATCATAAACCTGCACCCTGGCAACATCCAGCTCTGACTTCAGCACATCTACACAGTCACTGCATTTCACAATAAAACCATTCTGTGAAGCACTTTGAGACACCTCAATGACAACATGTATAAGGCCCTATACCAAATGCACGGTTTATTATATTATCATCTAGTGTGTGAGGTTGCACAGAGAAGAGATGGAAATCGTGGCTGAATACTGAAGCAATGCCAGAGACTAAGTGGTGAGCTGGCTGAAGTACGACATGCACTTTATCTACAGTGATACAAACAGTGACATTGGCAGATTCCACTGACCCTGATCTCAACAACTTAAATCGGTCTTAAACTCCCCAGATTGTTCTTCAGTTTGCAGCCGGTGTTATGATAAAGAATAATTGTTTGGAACTGGAAATTATACAGCGCCAATGTTAACCTCAGCATCTGTTTATGCGGCTTGTTTTAACCTAAAATCAAACTACAAATGTAGAGAACTAATGTTATCACTCAGAAGATTGGCCGGGAAGTGTGACTGAGCGAGGGAGCTGAAGTCAGATCGATAAGGTCCCTTGTTCCATTATGTACAGACTAACACAGACTAAGTTCACTGTGAGTGCCATGGCATTGCCTCCATCTCAACTCCAACTGCTGAGCTGGCTGGTGGCAGTTTTGGGGAATGTGGGAGGAACCTTGCCCTCCACACCAAGGTCAGGTCACAGTTATCTCGATCTGGAGAATATAATAACATTTACTTTCCAAGATTTTTTAATTAAAACAAAAAAAATTAGATTTCTTGCCAATTTTTTTTAAAGCAATTTTAATCCTTGGGATTGTCTTGAGAAGGTTCTGTGTGTATTAACTTAATATTCCATCAATTTAGTGCTCCTTTGGGAGATCCACAGTTACACTCTCGATTAGAGACAGCTCTAGTCATTGGTAAGTGCAGCTGGGAAGGAAGAATAATCTAGGTAAACGGTTGTGAGGGAGATGGACGAAGATGGACCATTTTATCTGGGAGACAAGCAGAAGAACCATTTCTCATTCCTATCCCTCCTCGCACGATGCTCATTTACAGCGACCAAACCGGTCAAACCTTAGCTAGAAAGCATCATTCCCAGTGGGGCCAAAAGCCCATTGCCTTTTCTATTCCCATGACACAATGGGCAGAATGAATGATCTTCTTCTGTGCTGTACATTTCTATGGTTCATCTCCTATGAGCCTCAACTCTCCTGCTCCAGCAGTCTCTGTCCCCGCTTTGTGCCTCTGTTAGAACTGTTCCGAGGAGCACTGACCATATTCTCAGTCAGTAAACCCCGGAGAGCAAAGGGTCATCCAAAACTCAACTGCGAGTGTCAGAACTGAAAATCAATCCACGGTACACATTTAACATAGAATGGATCAGGCAAGGTGCCAGAATAAAGCATTCATTCTGTTTACACAATACTCTACTTATTTACTACTAAAGGCGCCATTTAGTGCAATGTAAGCAGCGTCACACAGCAGAGCTGTAAACTGACATTTGCTGAGAGTCTCAAGAGATCAGAGGTCACTAACTATACTAACTAAATGCTAGTTGCATTCTTGTTCTCACAGCACCTCGCAGACTTGTAGCTTATTGCTAGTCATTATTCCATTAGAATTAAGACCGTCATATACATTGAAACATCTCAAAGCACTTCACACTAATTATTGCCATGTGCAGTGGCTATTTTTTGTACACAAATGCTGCAGTGACCCTGCACACAGCCACATCCCACAAACAACCATGAAGTCAATGACATGTTAATCTGGAGAATTGTTGATCAGCACACTTGAAGAAACTGCCTTAATTTGTCCAATAGTGTCACAGAATCTTAACACACCACCTGAACAAGCAGACAGGACTTAGTTCAGTGTCTCATCCAAAGGATGTCACCTCTAGCAACGTTATCCCCTGAAGTATCCTATGAGCTCAAGTCCTAGTGTGGGACTTAAACCCACAATTTTGTGACCCAATTTACAGTCTAAAATGACATATTTAATTTGATATGGAACACCTTGGAAACCAAGTAGTTAGTTATGTGGTTAATAGCCTCACATCACTCAAGTCTCCCTGGAACCACATAACAGCCTTCGATTAACAACTCAAGATGGGTTGGCAATGGCTCAGCTCCTACACGCTGTGCAGTGTGGGAACTCCAGCTTGACGTCCACAACATTTACACAGTAACATTCATAAAGAATTGACCTGCATTTCATATCAGCGCCTTGGGACTTCCTCCCGAAGTGAAAGGTGCTTTACTTATGTAATGTTGTTGTATCGAGGGTCTGGGCAATGAGACTAGGTCTCAGAATTTACCCTGTGAGCTAGGTTCTGAGAAAATCACAAACTCTTGACTCTTTTGTTGAAACGTTTCAAAATTCAGGAAACATTTATGGTTTAAATGTTTAATTTGAGAGAAATAAAGAGCACATGTATTTATTCCCTTCAAATAAAAAAAACTGCTTATCTTGTGACCTGGGCCACTTGTAAAGCACACAGAGACTCGCTGTAAATACTGACGACCACACAAGTGAACTCCCCACCTTGACCCGGTGTGAATGCAGTCTCTAGCGAGCTGAATTTATTAGGCACAGAGTGTTGTTGCCAAACCTTTCCTCAAATCTCATTCTCGCTCGTTATGTAAATGTTGTTATTCCCCGCGCCCCAACCCCATGTTAGAGTGATGGCTGAACTGCCCTGCCACCAGGGGCAGCCCAGAGCCCCTGTTGGGGCATCTGCCACAGGGTTTGAGTGCATCTCATCAACAAACAGCTAGAACAGATGCAGTAAAGCTCAGAAACTAATGGCTCACAGCTAAACAACACCTAACTTGTGCAGAGTCGCAACACGGAACCCCGCCAAGTCAGTACTCTCTCCCAACGACAACCCTGCACAGGTCAGAGTTCTAATGATGGGATAATTAGAGGCTGGTTTAAGACGTGGATCCTGGTAGACAGTGGTCTATCTGGAGGAGTGACTGAAGGATTCAATGGTGGAGGAATAAACATTACTGAGAGATCTAGGAAGAAAGCTTGACTTGACTTTTTAAAGTTTTGCTTTACGTTGAGCACAACAATCACGAGTGAACGAAACTTCAAAACGGGGCTGGTTACATTAATAATCCTTACATCAGTCACAGTCTCATTAGTGGGGTTTGGGTTTGAAGGTATAAACCCCATATGGAGTTATTTAAACACAGTTCCTGTGTTGAGCCACGTAGAGGCCAGCAGCGTGGCAGACTTTCACAGCGTTTCTTATACACATTATCGTGCAGGTTTAACACAGCTTGATCCCTGCCGATGGTTTGCACAGAGGCCACTGTGTCTCCCCATTAATCACCCCAGCCCCGAGCCCAGGCAGCACCGAGACCCCCAATTACACTACTGCCCTGACATCCGTCACTGCTGTGGACACAGAGAGATTTCCACATAAAGAGTAAAAGCCAAGGGCGCTGGGCCGCAAGCCTCTCTCTGCGGAGCTGCTCTGGTTAGTTTCACGCTGGAGAACAAGTGGAGTCAGCAAATTGAGGAAAGGTTGTAACGACTCACATTGTGAGATTTAACTATTCCATCTCTTCCCCCCCGCAAAGATTAGAGAAGATTTATTGCTGAATTTCCAGCAGTCATACACACACTGTCCCCTCTGCTTTATTTCATGCTTGCTCTCACACATTTCACCCCCGAGCTCCACTCTCCCCAGTTATTATTCTTCCCACAAGTCGTTCATTCCACAAAGTTCGGAATCATGACTTTATACAACTATACACCCCAAAATCTATTCTATTGCCTGTATACAGTAGTTGTGAAATGTGTGGCTCCTTGTTAAACACACAAAATACAGCTGGAATAAAACAAACAAAATGCTGCAACGAGACAGCAGTAATATTTGGGATGCGTTCTCATTCACAGTCCCAGTTTCTACTGAAATATTTTGTCTGAAGTCACTTGCTGTCTTTCCAAGCATCCACCCGGAGCTGCTAAACATGAGGAAAACTACCAGATCTGAATATGTATTTGGTGCAGCACAGCTCAGAGTTAGCGCTCTCACCTCTGGGTCAGAGGATTGTGGGTTCAATCCCCAAGTAAGGAATTTGAGCTCCCAGATCAGGTCGACACTACAATATGCTTTTGCAAGATCTGTATCGAACAGGCAGATGGGACCTTGATATAATGTCTCATCTGAAGAATGGCATCTCTGACTAATATTGTACTCCCTGGTACTGCACTGGAGTGTGGTGTGAGCCCAGAGTAGCTGTAAGACAGGAAGGAGTTGTGCTGGATTGTCAGCCCTCAGGAAGCAGCAGTACTTACAGCTTTAGCAAAGACCCCCATGAGCTCAGGAAACTGGTGAGTGAGGAGAGCGAGCATTGCTGTGAATGAGCATAGCCCTGCCGTGAACAGGATGAAGAACGGCAGCTCCTTCTTTGGGTAAACTGAAACTTCGTGAAAAGCTGAAAGGGCAAAAAGAGGAAGCATTTAGCATTTACACAGGCACACACACACAAACAACAACAACTTGCATTTGTACAGCACCCTTTATGTGGGGTAGCCTCTCATACATGCGCGCATGCACGCGCGCACACACACACCAGATGACAAACCACGCTGTTAGCAGATTCACAGCAGTCACAACGGTCCAGGCAGAAGGCAAACCTAAGACACACACAGTACAATGCAGCCCGTGTTTCACAGTGTAATAGGACTGATGGGAACATACATGGCAGCAGTTCCCTGTCGGCTGTCTCAGTGCAGCTGGGATACGGGTAGAAAAGGTGGCCTTTCTCCAGGGGATAAGGGATCATTCGGAAAGCTGGAAGATAACAATAACAACAACAATAATTTAGAACAGTGACACAGAGAAGATACACAGTATTCTTCTTAATAATCCATCAGGTATATTAACATCTGAGACGCTACCCCCATGAAGGGTGCTATATTAATGCAAGTTGTTGCTGTTGTGATTCTGCACTGATATTCTGATGCCCTCGGCGTAAGAATAGATTCAATGGCTCATGTCACCGAACAGAACAAAAGACCTGTATAACTGCAGGGCTGGCAATTGCTGTCAACTCAGTTGATAATAATAATAATCCTTGCATTTGATATAGCGACTGACCAGGTCTTAAAGACACATCAAAGCACTTCACAGAATATAGTGTAGAGTGTAGTGACTGTGTGTTTTGTGGGCAAAACGTGGCAGCCATTTGCGCATAGCAATGTCCCACAAATAGTTGTGGATTGAGTGATCAAATTATTATTGAAGGAATTATTATCCTCGGAAAAGTGATCCTCCAAATGATTAACAACTGGGTTCCTACTCTACTACTAGGTAAAGAGACATGTGTGTGGAGTAAGGAAACTTGCCCAATGTTTCACTCTGCCCGGGAATCAAATCCGGGTCCTTTCGCTTGCGGGGTTTGTGCTCTAACCACTGAGCTACAGGACTCCAGTTAAGACTTGCAACCAAATTCAATCAATGGGATCCACAAATAAATGTGACTATAAAGAGGCAAAAGTGAGATGCACCTGCAGCCTCGCTACTCCCAGCTAACACCCACACAGTTCACAGTCACCCATTGCACTCTGAGACGCCGTCCGGCGTGGAGGGCCTACATAAATCCAAGTTGTTGTTGTTGTAACAACAGCCTCCGTGAACCTCACCTTCCCAACGCCCTGGGCTCTGTGTACAGGGAGCCGAGAGGAAGGTGCTTCTGTGAGCGACGTTTAAGTGGAGATGGGAACAAAGAGCAACATGATTTATGATTATTTGTTCACAGAGAAGGGGAGGCTGAGGGATGGCTGGTGTCAGCAGCTTCCCTGCCCCTCAGGCTCTGCTTTAATCTGGATTTAAATCTCACAATGATTTCACCTGGGAGTCAGCAAGCAGCCACTAATGGACTGTCAGCACCTCACATGTTGCAGCCTGGAATCTCACCAGTCTGTCTGCTTTACTCCATAACCTCACAAAGGGTTTAACGTTAGCACAGATCATGTTGGTGAGCAGATAGCTATAATAATATCCAAACAGAATGAAGAAATTCTGCTGTCAGCATGTGTGGGGCAGGTTAGCATCGAGCCAAGCCATTCACATTCCATTTAATCTTCATTACAGACACAGCGTGAGGCTGCTGGTGTGTGCAGACAATCCCATTAAACATGATGACTTGAAACCGCTCTGAATGCAATCACATGAAGGGCGCTATATAAATGCAAGTTGTTGTTGTAAAAGGATAACTTACTGCCTTCCCACGTGCAATGCAATAGGTTAAGGACACCTTCTACCCTCTTCCAGTGTTGGAGATGAAAGAAAGCATACGCGATGGCCTCACTGTCTCCTCGCTTCAGGATGTGTTCCGGAGGCAAGATAACACTCTTCATTTCCAGTAAATACTGAAAGACAGGAATAGCACAAACACCCCGTTAGATACAAGCCACGGACCCAAACCTGTCAGATTTGGGCCTTTAGAAAGAACCTGGATTTCAGGGGCAGAGAAAGTTTGTTTATCACTATCGGCTTCCCCGAGTGTAGCTAACAAAAATACATTCAGGTGTTTCTGACTGGTTCGGGATCAAAGACATTGATATCTCGCTTTCCAGGAGGTTAGCTGCTGCCCTAGGCCTCCAGGCCAGTGTACTGACCAGCATAATGGCACCATTGTTCATGAAGCTCAAGGTGAACCTCATGAACAACAGAAAGTGCGTCTCAAGACACCAAGCGAGGAGCTCGCCACTGCTCACATTTCTACAACAAACAGTAAAGAGACTGTATTTTAGGGACATTCATTCAGTAAGATCTCATCTGCTGGATATGTGGGACGTGGACAGATCGTGCAGTATCCAGCTCTGTGCCCATTTGGGGAAATACCACAATCTACAAGATTATTTACTAATCTGTTTATCAGACTTCACTTTGGAGATGCATTTGCTGAAGGAATGTGTGGATTGGTTTCCTAGAGCCAGTCATTCCCTTGGAATAAAAGGCAATTTGCTGCCTGGCTGGCTTCCCTTGGAGCGTTGAGTCCTACACTTTGGTGGTAATACACACGCTAATCCCAGCTAATCCTCTCCAGTCTGTTTTACAGAGCAAGGATCACCGAGACTTTGGGTTGTTGTGGGAAAACTTACTTGCATACCTGACCTTTGCCCTGACTCCTTGCCCAGGCTCTCGTGCTGTTGCCTTTGACGACAATCGGCCAATTTGATGAGAAAAGAAGCCGGAAAAAAGTCGCTACGTTTGTGAAAAATACAGCACTCGTAACTTTATTATTAATAACAATAACAATCTTTGATTTTCACTCCAGGAATTCTCATTCTTTCCACAATTTGTTGCTTAAATTCATTTTGTTCCTGAATTGTAACCAACTAATAATAAAATGTGAGATCTCTGCTTCAATCAGGTACAAACAGCAACCAGCGACTTTACACGGGGTGGGGGGGGGGTTGTAAAGAGGAAACAGAATGGAGAGTTATGAAAGCTCTCGCACCAGAATTTATGCAAGGACATTTAAAAAAAATATAAACCAGTTTAACATTCTCTCATGAGCTCTTTTCCCCTAAAGGCAAATGTGTCTGGGACTGTCTGTGGCTAAAGTTATGTCTCTTAATCAGCCATGCAAGCATTAGGCAAATTCATTCAGCAATTAGCTTCTTTGAGTGAACAGTGTGAGAGGCAGCACACACTCACACACACACTGAGAGGCAACGCACACACTCACATACACACACACACACACACAGAGCAGCACACAGTGTGCATGGAAAGGGGAGGGGGATGAGGGATAAACACAGACCCCTCAAGGTTACTGCCACTCAGATGTGCTTAATGAAACAGCTGTATTTGTCAAGGATTAGACCCACTCAAATCCATCTTGCACTCCCAAGGCCGCTGCTTCCCTATATAATTATTTTATATCTTTTACCACAAAAGGGCTGAAGCTCCTAAAAGGGGTCGTAAAGACACTTTGCCTGGGTCTTCTTCCCCCCCCGACGCACTCATTTTATATCCTTAATAAAAGACATGATAAATAACATGTGGATCAGGAGAACACCCGAGAGCGGATTACTGTAAAGCGTTTCTGCTTCACGCGGAGAGGAATACTCTCGAGTGTGTGTTTGTATCGCACGTTATATCTGGCGGAGCTCAGCCCCTCGCAGGTCAGTGCTGACGCTGGGAGTTGCCAATGGAATCATCCCCCCAGGGAGCCCTGGGCTGAGCTACAGGATCGATGGAGCCATTAGCACAGAATCTCATAATAATCTCTGTATTTGCTATCGCACTATGAATGTCACACAGCTTCACAGCTCACTGCTGTCGTGTGCAGTAACTGTAGGCAAATGGCCACCAATTTGTACACAGCAAAGTCCCACCATCAACCTTGAAGGGAATGATCAATTTACCTGGGGGATTGTTGGACAGGACACTGGGGTTAAACTCCCTGCTCTTTTCCAATAGCGTTAGGAGGATTTAACGTCTGCCTGAACAGGCGCAGATGAGGTCTTAGATTAATGTTTCGAGGCAAAGGATGGTGGGTCCAACAATGCAGTGCTCCCACTCAATACTTAAAGACTATTACAAAGGTGTTAGGTGAGCACTGCGTTGCATGTGCAGTTTAGCGGAGGTTCCACAATAAATCCTGATTTTAGCTGAATTTATTTGGGGGGGGGGTGGTGGTTACATATTGCATATTTCCTCCAATTCTCTCTACTTTTGACAGAAAAAAAATCAACCCTATAAAAAAAACAGCAAAACTAATTGTTTATTCTCTGAGTAAAGAGTGAGGTGAATGATTGTTACTAGACTATACGAGTTAGTATGGTAACAGCACGATAACTAGACTCTGAGCTCAGGTCCCAGGGCTGTGCTTCAACCTGACCCACAGTTTAGCACGTTAGCAACAGAGCCAAGCTTCCTGGTCCTGTCAGGAAATCTGCAGCAAAAATAAAACTGAGAATGTGCTAACCTCACGTAGCTCACTGGGTATCAATCACTAATATCTCGAGTGACGACTGAAGGTAACGTATTCAAACCTTGTGGAATTATACAGGCTTTTCATTTAATTTGGGGATCAAAGGGATCCCACATTACATCTCTGTAAAGCGATCAATATTAACACAATGCCCAGCGACAAACTGATTGCCCGCAGAGAGCTGCTGATTGTTATCCATCGCCACTAATTGCTTCCAGCTTCGGCATCTACACAGGCCAGCACCTAGCCACCATCAGCCTCAGCGTTCCTGAGGAACAGAGCCGGCCAAAGTATTCCCAGGGACCTATTAAACAATCCCACCCCTGTGTGCTCTCCACTTCCAATTGTTTTCCCCAAAATAAGCTTAAAACTCGGAATTTGCACACAACAGGAAAACGAGAGTTTAATTTCCTAATTTCCTAAATGGCCGAGCTTCGGGGTCAGTGGTGTCACAAACTCCCCGGAGATGACGGGACGTTATAATCAGGTGCGACTCGAATGTAAAACTACTGGCTGCATTTTGTCTAATCTTTTGGCCCAATGCTCTGAGGCTAATAATACTTAATCCTCGTGGGCTTCTTCTGCAGGACCTGCAGATTGTTGTGACTTTAAGATCGCTCACTGCACAAGCCCAACCCCCCTGTCCCCTTGTGGGATCCATTGGGCCATGCATGAACTCCAGCTTCTCTCTGTGGAGGCTTCTGCAAGGTGTACGAGGGCAGCAGCAATGTCACATCTACACTGTAACACTGCTGTGTTGTGTGCCTTTTGGCACAGAGTAAATAATTTCACATACAGTATTGTCTAGCTCCTGACTGCCCTAAACCCTGAGCTCCATGACAATGTACATGACCACAGAGGCTAAAACAGTACCAAGCCTCCAGAACTGTGTGTAAAAAAGGTTAGTTATACCAACGTTTCCCAACGTCTTATTTAAGGGAAGCGAGTCCGCAAGCCACAGAATTGTGTAAAACCTTCAGTGAAGTCCAATGGTCAATTATCACTTAATTGTGAGCTTCACAAATAGTTACTGGTGAGCGTAGTGACTGTTTATACACACATACGAGGCGCAATGATTGGTTTCCATGAATAAAAATAAAGGAAAATAGAATTCTGAATAAATGTTTCTAATGAACAGTTTCCCTGTGAGTAAAAGATCTCAGAAATGTGTTTAATAACCGACTAGATGCTGACAAGAGCATTTTTAGACCATAAACTTGCTAACAGGATGCAATTACAGAACAAACCCTCTGCAGTAGATCCAAGCCACTAAATATTGTATTACACTATTAGCAAACAGCAAGTGTTCAGCTGCTCAGTCTGTGTTTGCTAACAAATACAGAGGAAGGCTATTATAGTGCCCTCACTGTAGTGTGGTCTCACTTCGAGAGCAGGTTTACCCTGGACCAGAACCAAGGTGTCCCTGACACTTCTCTGGTGCTAACTAGCCAGTATCTAGCGCTAAACTATGGCCATCAGCGATGTTAACACATCTCCAACAACAGGCATCAACAGTCGCCGCTCGTGCCCCCCCACCAAGCCAACCCCCACCTCCCCTCCAACGAACGCCCCTTCCAAACAACCAATGTAACACTTCCCACCATTGGATCGCTCACCTCCAATCCACATGTCAAGGTATGCTATAACAGCCAGTGGAACATGATACAAGCCCAGCCACGATGAGCTGAACGAGGCTCTAGCCGAGCAAGGGTTGAAGGATAACTAGCTAAGATCGCGGTTGTGTGATATTGCCCACAGACTGGAGGGAGGGAGGGAAGGAGAGAGGTGGGAGGCTTGTAGACACAATATTTGGAGAACACTTCAAGGTGTTTATAGCCAGTTCATGGAATCCCCCTTGTCCTCCCCCAATCTCAAGGGATCAGAGTGACCCAGTGATCAAACACCCATAGATCAGAAACACTGAATCTTTTACACACCGAAACAGACCTCTTCTCTCATCCCCCCCATTGTTAACGAACCCTCATTAAGACAACGCAAACACACAGCCACTATCACAGCAGCAGTCAAAGATCCAGACACAAGTGAACTCTGCGCTGTAAACTCTGCACTTACTCAGGTAGGCTTCGTCAATTACACAACTACTTATATTTATTATAGTTCCCTTCAAGTAAATAATTATCTTTAACACTTTACATACAAATCTCAAGGCAGACAAAAGCCTAAATCCACATAATCAAAAAAGGTGAAACAATAAACTTGTATTAATGTACAACACTGTTGGGAAAGTAACCACAGCATTCAATATGGGCTAAGACATCCCAGAAACAAGTCTGAGTTAATGCAGCTCTGGGAGACAGTAGCCACCATGTCAGGGTGGATGGAAACGATGGGATGGACGGGCACCTGGGCTGCTCACAGTTCTGGCTGCCAAGTGTAAAGTACTCTCTGCCCACAAATCACATTGGCTGGGCCAATCTGACATTTACACAAACAGTGGCCGTGGTGCAAACGTCAATGCACTGCGCTTAACGCCATGAGACGGCAACTTGTACAACTGAGGACACAAGGCTGCCAGCCTTCAGTTCACGTTGCCCAGTCACCCTGACAGGGGTTACAGTCTCTGTGGAATGAACACAGTGGGAGAGAGACCCAAGTGACACACACAGGAGAGAGAGAGAGACCCAGTGACACATACTGGAGACCAAAAGTTGGTGACATGAAGGAGTGCGTCAATCAGTGATAAATGCTGCTCACTCAGTAGTTTTCAGATCACCATGGTGCCGCCATTAGTTAACTGCTGAGAAATTACTTTGTGGGATTTAGGTAAGAACATCAAAAACAGCTGCAGAGAATTATAATTAAGCATTTCAAGATATCCATCTTTCGTGAGAGGCGCGGTATAAATGCAAGTTGTATAATTATTGTCGAATTTTGACTGGGTTTAAAACGCGGTTGCAATTTTGAGGAAAACAGGAACAGATTGGGAATTGTAAACGGCACTCTCCTCCATCCAGCTCAGCAATAAGGCTGCTGGGAAACCCAAAGCCCTTTGGGCAGCAGGGTAATAATGCCTTCAAAAAATAAATAAATAAAAATAATAATAATGTGGTCACTCAATCCACAGCTGTTTGTGGGACACTGCTGTGCACAATTGGCTGCTGAGTTTCGCCCACACAAAATGTACACTTTACAGTACAATCTGTGAAGCGCTTTGAGACGTCTTGAAGATGTGATCCGGCGCTCTATCAAACCCAAGGATTATTATTATAGTTAGTTTTGACGACATAACCCTGGAAAGCAACACCGCTGAGTGAAATCTGAGTGTAACACCACCTTGATCCAACGAGACAAAGTGGGTCAGTCCCCCGGTTAATGCGTGAAACAGTTTCAGTGCTGAAACCTCCAACAGCTCAGCAATTGGAGCCGTCGCGCTCCTCTCCTCTCGGGCACATTCTGATTTCCAAGGCTGTTATTTAAACCTTAGACAATACAAGTCGTTTCGCTTTTTTTGGGGGGGGGGGGAGTGGGGGGGGGGGGGGGTGGAGGGAGGGGGGTGGAGGGGGTGAAAAGGAGGAATAACTGCTGAACTTTACTAAACCATGCCGATCTGCGCTGACCTTGGAATGATCCATTCCTCACCGAGTGGCCACTCTGTGCTGAGGTCGGACACACGGCAGCTACTGCCACAGCTCCAGACTGCCACCCGCTGGGATGAGAGTGAACTGCAGCAGCACCCAGGCCGCCCGCCCGCCCGCCCGCTCGCTCGGGGAAACCCTCAATACTCCTCGACTAACACAGGATACAATTAGACCGAACCGTGTCCGTCAGGAACAACACCGAGGTCAAGGTCGAAATACACCACACGCACAATAAAGTAACCAGAAACTGTAAAAGCAACTCGTTTACAAGCTTTACTACATCTGAATGCCACTCGCTGTCGCTCCTCAACTTGGCTCAGTTGGTCGCGCTCTTGGGTCAGACGTTTGTGGGTTCGAGCCCCACATCGGGGCGTGAGCACAGTCTCTGGACTAACACTGCAGTGCTGGGGGGAGCACTGCATTGTCGGGAGATAATATCCTTCAGATGTACCTTAAACCCCGCTGCTCCCTGTCTGCTCAGGTGGACATTAAAGATCCCACAACACTATTAGGAAGATAGGGCAGTTTATCCTTGTGTACGCCAGATCTATTCTCCTCTTTGCTGTGTGTGTGGGATCTTTCCATGTGCAAATGACCACCCAAAACAATCACTACACTGGACAGGGAAGTGCTGAGTTGCTGAGATGGGACCTTTCTTTTCAACCGCACCTTTGGTCACCTTCCCACCCCTCCCCCTGGCTCGGTCCCGGGATCCTAATGCATAAAGCGCTCTGAGACGCCGTCCGGCGTGGAGGGCACTATATAAATCCATGTTGTTGTTGTGCTGTGAAGAGTAAGCTCCTTCTCAGCACTTTGCAAAAAATCAATAATTGACAGATTAACATCTGTGGATGACAACACCAGAGACCCAGCAAAGAGGTCATTTACTGAAGAGCAAGAATGGGAATGATTCATGGTGCGTCTTGCACCAGGAACAGATTCCCTGAGGCTTTAAATTAAACCAGAAATACTGGAAACACACATCAATTGGAACCAAGGCCTGACTGCGGGGCATTTCAGATGTAAATCCACTCAAGCAGAACAGCTCTGATATAGTCACACCTGAGCAGTCCCTCTCTCTCATGTTGATTATCCAGATGTGCATTGCCAGGGTTTGTGTTTCTCTTTACTTCTTGCTGCCTCAACACTAACACTCTTTCTCTCTCTCTCCCTCTTGCACACAGTGATGGTTGTGGGTGGCCAGGACATACATACACTGCAGATACATCACAACGTTCACAAAGGTATAAAAACTTCTGCCATCCATTGCCATAGATTATGAAAAGCAAACCAATTGCCGAGGTACAGATAAGTATGACTTAAACAAGCTAAATTGTAATAACTAATTTCTTGCTCGTAGGCATTTAAAGATTTGTCACACTATGTACTCAGATTGAGTCCAGAAACAATTTCAAAACTCTGCGTACAACCAAAAAAATCACATCAAAAATATAAAATTGACTGCGTTACTGAACTGTACATCCTCCCTAACACTGCACGGCTCACATCCTCGTTCCCACCATGTACCAGTGTGGCTCAGTGCCATGGCTGCTCTACCCTCAGGCAAACATAGCAAACACAGCCTGGTGTCAAGGTCTCAGATGGAAAGCTTGGCATGGAATGTAAACAGCTTTAGGGTTAAACAAGCATAAACTGTGTTCATTTGTTCTGCTCAATGAAGCTGATTAAATCCATACTTCCGAGAGGCTTTGTCAAACAACATCTCTGAAAACTATTCAGAAACATCTTTCAAATGTAAATGGGGGGGGTGCGGCAAAAGAGGTAACTTTCCCCACTATAAGAAAAGTGAGCAGGAAAGCATTGCTTGATGAGAACAGGAAGGGATATGTCCCCGAGAGGTGAAATGAGCTGTGGAGCAGGGCACTATAGATAGCAGAGGGAGAGACAAACAGAGAGACACAGAGAGAGAGAGAGAGAGAGAGACACACACACAGGGGGAGAGAGAGAAAAAACACAGAGGGAGCGAGGGAGACAGGGAGAGGGAAGAGTAAGTGAGAGAGAGAGAGAGAGAGAGAAAAAACGAGAGTGTATGTGTGTATATGTCAACTCCTAATGACTATGTTCCCCTGATGAGCTAGACACTGTGGAGCTCCAGGCTTTGCTTTTTCAGCCCCAGGGATGAGCCACTCAGGGCTTCACTTTCTGCCACATGTTGTGTAGTTTGTCGTCTTTTGCTGACATTAAAATCCACAGGAGGAATAAGAGAAACAGGTAAAATGTCAAAGGGTTCTGGAAAGTAGACAGCGTGACCATAAATGTCAAGTTAATTGAAAATTAGGTCACAGTTTTTACATTGATATTCCAAATGTGGCCTGGGATGCCATGAACAGGGACAGGAATGTAATAACGGGCATTGATGTTTATAACAAACAATAAAATACTAAAATATTGCATTCAATAAAACAAAATGATTATGAAGGATTTATTGGTTTGTAAATAAAACAGACTACGCACTGACAGAGTTGTCTGTGCAAATCCAAAGCTCAATGTTATCTCGACTTTTCCCATTCCTCATAGAAGCAATGTTTCTAATCTTGTCGTGTGGGGCAGCCATGGCTCAGTAGCTGTGCCAGACACTGTGCCGTGACCACAGTGTCTGGTACAGGAGCCAATCAAGGGTATTCTGTCTGTACAGAGCTAAAGTGTGATAAGACGCAGAAACCTCTTCAGCTGTTGACCACATAAATACAATGGGCAGATGTTTACTGTAATTGTCCCCTTGGGCAGGCGGCACACAGCACAGAAAGACAATCACACACAGACACACACACACAGAGACAAGCACACACACACAGACAGACGGACAATCACACACACACACAGACAAACAGACGGACAATCACACACACACAAGCACAGGGGCAAGAGAAGAAGTGCAGGAAAGTTGCCCTGTCCGTCATAAAAGATTTTATGGGACCGGAGACAATTGCTACAAGCTCCAGCGATTATCAGCCCTCATTAAAGAGCCACCCGGCTGGTCGGTAGGTGTGTCTAACACTCACCTTTGGCACATGTGGGTTGAACTCCACTGCTCTGTGTATGGCTTCCACAGCGTTCATTTCCGCTGTACTGAGTCCTCGCCTGGACGCTGACTCGGGGGAGAATCTGCATTTAGACAAAACAGACATTTCTGATGATAACCAAACATCTAAACATCAAATGGCTCAGTCACTTCTCAGGCAGTTACCCTTTGTGTCTTTGTAGCTAAATATCTAGTTTATGATCAGGGCGATTGAGCATTGAGCGAATGCACTAACCACAGTTTCCTCGTATCTAACTCACACAATGAGTCTTGATGATATCATTGAGGCGTTGAGTAATTTTCTAAATCAGATAATCTTATAAAATTAGGTGACAGTTTGGAATACGAGACAACAGATTAGAAACAAGATTAGAAAACCCTACTTTACAAACGAATGTGAAAAAGTGAAAATGTTTAATTTTTACCATCTATTGTTTTGAAGAGTTTTGGGACCAGCCTGAGCCCACTGGATGGGGCTGTGGCTGTAGAAGATATGGAGATAACCATGTTCCTATGAATTTATGTTGTTTAGTAGCATTTGTGCATGTTACACAGCTACAGATATTCTCCTGGACCAGAAAAAAGTGGCCAAACTCATTCCATATTGCCCCATTAACCAGCAAAGACAGGATTCAAAGCTTCAGTGTAAAAGATGGGAGAGGTTTACCCAGATTCAATAATAACCCGTAATAATAATAATCCTTGCATTTGATTTAGCGCCTTAATGTCTTCGAGATGTCTCAAAACGCTTCACAGAATATATTGTTAAGTGTATTTTGTGGGCGAAATGATTCAACCCGGCAAAAGCCCGTTTCATTGTTCTGAAATGTACGATTTGACAATATTAAAAACTGCACATTCTTATACCATGTGTGTTAAAGCTAGAGAGGAATGTGATGTGTTTGGAAACAGCGACAACCATCTGGACTGAGTAAAGCTGCTTGTGAGTTACAGTCTGGAATCTAAATCAAAGGATACAGGAGGTTTTCATGTAGGAAACATTGGGACATTTTAAGAACAAGCAAAAGATATTTGGCTCAAACTCACTCCCTTTTGACTGATCTCAATTCAACCTTCACACTGCAATTTTCCCAACTCTCAATAAACACATCCCATTATCTCTTAAATCCATTTGCTTTATTTCTGTGAGGAGTCAGGTAACTTATTGCTCATGTGAATTATCCTCTGTGTCAAGCACAGAACGTGGACAGCAGAGTATTAATGTAAAAAGGAACAGATGACCAGATAGGAGACAGCAAAACAAAGAGAGAGAGAGAAAGAGAGAAAAAGAAAGAGAAAGAAAAAGAAAGAGAAAGAAACTTGCATTTTTATAGCAACTCATCATTTCAAAACATCTCAAAGCTTTTCACAGGTAATTGCTGTCAAGTACCGTGACTTTTGTTGGCAAACATAGCACCTAATTGTGAGAGCAAAGTCCCACTAACAAGCATGGGGTAAATAACAGCAGGATTGCTTCTCTTTTGCCATGTTGTCACGGAATCTTAGACACACACCCGAGGAGACGGACTGGATCGTGGTTTAACGTTAATGTATCAATCAAAAGATAACTCAGTGCCCCCCAGCACTGCACCAGAGCAGCAGCCCAGACAGTGAGCTCAAGTCCCACAGTATGAGAGGAACTCGCAAACTCCTAATCTGGACACCAGCCAGCTGCCACTGGAGCTAGGCTGGTGTAGCAGTGTTGGTGCCATCATCAAATGGATAAGAAGCTTGAGGAGCTTTTAACATCAACATCAAGCCTCGGTGCTTGGACAATTCACAATTCATGGTAATACATTCTGGGTTGTGTTCATGACTTATGGAAGTTGGTGGAGTTGCTTTATTTCATCTGTAATGGTCATTAGCAGTGGGAAAGTGAGCTTTGGAATGTGGGTGAGAGGGTGTCACAGACACAATCGTCTCAGACGGCAGCAAGTAACACGAGAGAACAGGCAATTTATACCAAGAGCGGAATCTATTGTGGCATTCAGATGAGGTTATGAATGGTTCAAGGAAAAGCTAGAGTTATTTATACTCATGATGTGAAGCCCTGGAACGTGCACAGCCTTGAACACACTGGAAGCCATTTATAACACACACATGACAGACATTGAAACCTGTCCATGCTGTAACTGTAAGCAATGAATACATGATGGGCTCATTGGCCATTTCAATCCAATATCAGTGAATGAGAAGTTGAAAGAGATCCTTCAAACCATCTGATCCAAGCTAGAGTACCTACCCTTCCTATGACGACTTCACAGAAATTACCTCAGAGCTTTTAGAGACGTTACAATGTGACAGGGCCCCAAAAAATGCAAGTTTGAAGGTTGATCTAATTTATCACTTGAACAGTCAGCATTTATTGAAAGGAATTGCTCTGGACACAATTGTGCATTGGGAAAACAGCAATAATGTCAAGCTCCAAGGGCCAGACCAATCTGCTCCTGCAAGAGGCAATTCGATGAACGCATTACCTCCGCTTCCACCCCACAAAACACCCCCTCCCTGCAAAACCATAACACTTACTTGTCTGATACAGCTCTTGCTTTCAGTAGTGCTGCTGTGTAACATATTGTTGCTGATTTTGGCAAACTAATATCTGAAATTAAAATAAATAAGTGACATAAGGATTGGAAATTCTAATGAATGTTCAACACAAATTCTCTCCAAACACAATTAGATATGTGGCAATATGAATGACTTTGGCCATAACTCCCTGAAGAATGAGGTCCTTAAAGAAAAGACCAACACACTTTGTATCAAAACAGATTCACAGCCTATAACTTACTCCCTTTTAAACCATCTAAATCCCTCGATCAGATTCCATCCTGTAAATCACTCCCAAAAAATAACTTCATTAAATTCCAGCCTTCAACTCATTGCTTCAATCAGAGACTAGAGGGTGAGTGTATCCCATTAATGGTCTATCTGTAAACAACATGCAAAGGTCCTGGTTAATTCTCTTACCATCGTATTTGGCGAGCACCACCTGAACATCAGCGTAGGCCTGTAACTCCAGCAGAGCTTCCAATAGATTTTCATGTATGTTCAGCATACTGAGCAGAGGGAACTCTTTCATTAACTAAGGAAAATAAAATAAAGCTATTACTCCAAGGTCTGTAACCTCATGGGAATACAGAACCAAGAGAAGCATGTGACCACAGTCGGGACATCGTTAGGTGAAAACCCAGCTAATCGGCAGCCCAGTCACCACCCCACTCCCAAACAGATTGCTTGTGTTTGACGTGCCCACCATAACTCTGTGCTTCACAGGAACCTCAGTGTAGGAGGGAAGAGCCTTGGCAATGTAACACCAAGCATGCAACATTTACAAACTCTTCACTTACAGTGAACTAAGCCGCACAGCAAGTTTCTAATGACACAGTTTGAGGAAAGGCTGGAAGTGTGTTGTGTGGGATCTCCGCAGTGTTTAACTGAGGCGACATTACTTATTAGCTGTTACGTGAAAACTGGAGCTAAAGCATGAAGAAGTTTCTTCGGCCTGTTACTAAGCTCAGCAAACTAGTAGTTCTCCTGACATGAAAGGGCTACACAAATGTAATTTGTTGTTGAGTTACTAACATCTCGCATAAGCTTGACGGCTTCTCGCACTCGTCCCAGTTTCCGTGCGCACATGGCCAGTCTTCGCTTAATATAAACTAACACGTTGGTGTCCCGTCCTGCCAGAGAGAAGACATCACACGGTTACCACAGGTCAGTGCCAGCAGGTACAGAGGCTGAATGCCACTCTGTCTCTGGTACTCACTGTGCTGTGCCTCCAGCTGGGCACTGTGATGCTGGGATTGTTGGCTGCGTTTGTAGCATACGTCTCCCACTTTGAGGGCCTGTTTAAATAGTTTCTCGGCTTCAACAATTGTAGTTGTCTCCTCCTCAGCGAGCAGAACATATGCTGTGGCACACCTGGAGATTGTAGATAAACCAGACCTCAGAGATCAAAATGTAAGGGGAAAAAAAGCTTGTGGTTTTACGGTACTTTATCAAGTGGAAACATCTCAACAGGACGTTGTAGCAGGCAATTGTTGTGAAGGACAGCAACTGTCTTTATAATCAGAAGCATCTGTAGTTCAATATAATTTAATAACTGTTTCCACACAGCAGTGAGGGCAAGAGTAAAGATACTCGCACATCTCTGTGTACTCCTCAATATGACTAAAGATTTACTTAGAATTAGTATTTAAATCCCCGAATTAAGAGATTAAAATTGAAAATGAACTCCCTCACAATGTTTTTCCGTGTCACTGAGGTAGTCTATTATTTTTCCAGTTCAATTTAATCCCCAGAGCTCAAACACTGGCTCCTATTTCTCAGCCAAACATTGAGATATTCCCACAGCCAGGACACAACCTAGAACTGAGTCAGCCACTGATATAAATCCTGGTATTTAGTTGTGAGAATAAGAGACCCCGACAACCACTTGTTAATTCAGTGGGAAGAATGGCATCTATGTAGATATCTTATTTTTCAAATCCCTCATCAGAAAATCAGCCTCTCCTAACACCAGACACATGAATCAGGCACCGGTCAAATGTTGGATTTGTAAGTCAAATGATTGAATTTAACAACCTATGAGAACACTCTGCGGATATTACAGCACTCAGTGCTTTAGGGCCTCGCTAGCTGAGAAATGTGAGACCTTCTCACTGAAAGTCACTTACAACATTAAAATGTCAGTCAATGATGTGCTCAGAGCAAAATAGCATGCTGTAAGAAGCAACGCAGTACAATGCCTTGTCTTCTAGTCCAATTCTGAGATAAAAAGATATAAAGATATTAAAATAAAAGTTCAAGTTGGCAATAATAACCAGAGCTGTTAGTCTCTTAATCAAGGCAGAAAAAGGCACCGATTAAGTGTGAAAACCTTATAGGGATGAGGAGGAGCGAAAGGAGTCATCGCTGAACACAATCTGCAGCGCACAACCTACTCATTGTTTAGTTCTAAGGCTTGATAAGCAGCTTTGATTCTGGCTTGTGGGTTCCTCTCTCGCCAGGCCTTCTGCATCACTGTCAGAGAACACAAACATCAGAGCAAATCACATAAGGGTTTATATCCACACAGCATATTCAGTATGAGAACAGCAACACAATCACTACACTCGTCAGCACGGAATTGCTGACGAGTGTAGTGATTGTAACTCTTTGACAATGTAGGCGCTACATTAAACCCAAGGACTATCATTTAGAAATGACCAATTTACCTGGTGAAGCCACTGGGGAAAAACATAAAAATTTTCAAGATTGATGTGGATATACGTTTGTTAAGTCAGGGCATCAAGGGATGGGTAATTGGAGCTGAGGTACAGATCAGTAATAATCTTACAGGATGGCAAAACAGGCTTGAGGGGCTGAGTGTCCTAAACCTCAATGTGATGACAGTGCCTCTGAGAATGCCGCGTCCCCCCCCACCGACCCACCCACGCCCCGCAACCCCTCACAGTGCAGAGAAGCTAGAATGGGGGAGGGGGAAGAGGAAGTGTTGCTCTCACAAACCTCTCAGCTACTAAAGAGAGGAAGCAGGTTATCAGCAGAGCCAGTGGCGAGGAATAGGAATAGGAAGACAGGGTGCTTTAAAAAAGTAAGATCCCTGGTGCAAAGCAAGTGGCACCAAAACCACTATACATTCTGGCTACAAATACACCCTCCACACATGGCATCACACAGAGAGCTGCCTTTGTTATCAAGTGATAACACTCGCAATCTTACACTTTCTTCTACATTCGTCCCTTGTGCTCACTCAGGATTCTCTGTATGTGTGTCTGTGTCCATGGGAACCATTTTTCACTTAAACTAGACTTTATACATGCGCAAAAGAAGAATTGGAGTGGCTAGAAGTTGAGGTGCAGAAGCATATGTGCTGAAAATGGCAGGTGCTGTAGATCTAAAGTTGTAAACTGGATTGTAAGGTAGGAGCGTAGTAAAGATGCTTGATCTTAACTTCATTTCCTGGGCAGGAAGTAACGTCAAGGCAGGCATCTTGACCGTGTGCTTCCTTACAACATGGTTCCTTGATATCTCTACATATCTGTGGATGTGCACCACACAAGGCAGGGCAAAACCTTGGGCAAGTTTCCTTACTCCACACGCCTGATAATAATCCCGCCAAAACAATAATAAATTGGTCATTATTATTATTATTATACACAGGATTGACAACCTACCTACATACAAGGCCTCTCTGCCCCCACCCTGTGGAACCCTATCCCACAGTCCCACAGCCTCACTCCCTCCCTCGTCTCCTTCAAGGCACGTCTCAAGACCCTCCTCTTCAACTGAGCCTTCGGCCATCTAACTCCGGCAAACTGATAAAGATGCCAAATCCCCAAACAAAGAATGTGAACGACAAGTCAGGTTAATCTCGTGCATCCTGTTATTACACAGCTGCAACCACGGACCCCGGCTACGCCGTACATAATTGTTTTCTCTCTTGTTTGTACTCACCGATGTCGGCAGGTCTGAGCTGATCCGTATCACATGTGAAGAAAGTCTGATGATCCTGTGCGGACAGATTCATGTCATAATAGGTCAGGGGCTCTCTGCCTGTCACCCATGTGTACCTGCCGGGGACAAAAGCAGGATTTACTCACAGACACACATCGTTATGACCTCAAAGCATCACAAAACACCTTCACGTTCATGTGGGACAGTGCTGCTTTTACCCACTGAACCATCAAAGGAGTATCTATGTTAAAGTTAGACAGACGTACAGCATCACTGACCATATGTAATTGACAAGAGTCGGCAGCTTATCCAAGCGTAGGCACCCACCCCAGCAGCAGCTTTGGGTAAGACAGGGAATTTGGTTTTCATTCCCCTGCTTCTCCCTTCCCACCCCACCCCCCCGCCACCCACCGTCCCCTTCCCAACAACACACATTAATCCCGGCACAAACACACCTGCTGTACTCTGCTCCTCGGAAGAGATTGAGCGGGTTTCTCCACACTTTACATTCTGTTGATGAAAGTTTCCAAACGTGAGTCCAACAAAATACAATGACCTCAAACTCAGCAAGTCACAGCGTACAGTTATACCAAGATGTTCACATAAGAAGCTTTAACTTTAACAAGGTGACAAGCCTCCCGGCAGCCCAGTCAATGTCTCCATTTAGTGACGGGTCGATAGTTGCATGAAAAATCCTTCAGTTCAGTCTTAACTTAGAAGCAGNTTTTTTTTTACATTTCTTTAAAAGAACCGGCAGCTTAAGATGATTTTAAGATAAAAAGATCTGAAAGGCTAAGACCAGGTGGAATTTCAGACCTTGTATGTCCCACTTTTCACGGCTAAACTATAAGTCAAAAACAACTTACATTTTTTATAGACCCTTCACGCAGGGGAGCGTCACAGAGCACTTAAATTAAGGTACATTACCTGAGACACTCTGCCTGCTGGAATCAGCCTCACCATTGCTGGTGGAGAAGTTAACGGCTGATGATGTGTTATCCACGCCTCCAAGCAGGGGTCGCAGGTGACTCACTGAGACTTGCTCGATGAAGGAGGTGCCATACTTTCGAAAGTACCACCATTCAAATATCTGAAATGGAGAAATCAGAACGTCAGTCCATCCCGAGTCCTCTCCACATCCTCAGCTTTTCATTTGTCTTCAGTGTAATTCGCAGAGGATTCTATGGACAAATTTCCCTCCAAAACTAAATGTAACGTCACCTCTGCTGCTGCTCCTATTGCTGTACAATGTCAGTCATTTGAATTAATTTTAAATTTGGGGATGAATTTGTATGAAGGAATCCCTATTACATGCACACTTCCAGCCCATTATAGCAACTCCAAATTCTGGCCTCGCCTGCCACATATATACACAGTGAGACGCATGCACTGCGTTCACACACTCGCCCCCACACTGTGCTAATGGGGAATACTGAGAGCAGGAAATAATTCATTTAGTTTGTTTTAAAAAGAAGCAATACTGTACTTACTAATATTAGTCCTGATATGAGTGAGGAGGTCCCTGTAAGGGCCACATAGAATTTCGGAGTCAGTGTGTTCAGGAACATGGTCACTGTGAGGGAAGGAATCAAAATAATTATAATCAGGAACAATTCACAACTCACATTTACAATACACACATATTATATATCTTTATTTCACCAGAGATTTCAGTGAGACTTGGAGGAGTGGAAAATGAAGATCCTGAAATGAACTCTGTGGGGAGTCAGGGTGGGTGGGAGAGGGGGCTACAGGGTGGTGGGGGTAATGGGAGGAGGGTAAGGGCGGGAGCTACAGGGTGGGAATAAGGGGCCGGCCTCAATCATGGACTTCTGAATGAGCTGAAAAAATTTTCGAATATGTTTTAGACTGGGGGAGTAACGGTAGGTGGCACCAAAGAGCTTTAAACAGAAGAGAATCTGCTCTTCTCAAAACCCCCGACGTGACGACAGTATGTGAGCTTGATGCTGTGAGCAGTCTCTGTAACCCAGTTCGTGAGCAGACATATTGCAGTACCCCACTAACGACAGACCAGCTAGACTGGCTCTTTACTGTGGCAGGGAATCTTCCCACTCAGCTGCTGTCTCCCCTTTATGCCAAAGCCCTGAAGGGTAGGTAGGCCTTGGCTGGTCCTCACTGGACAAGCTGTGGGAACCTGGTCACTGTGCTCTCAATGACTCACCAAGTGGTTTTGGTGGGTTAAACTCTAGCAGTATTGCAACATACATTCTATGGACATACTTGAGCACATTCACACCAACACGTACACACATGTACACACTCCCTCATACATGCACCCAAATCTAATCTAATTTCACTTCAAAATGACTGATGTTAGGGCCTGACATGCACACAACAGCCTGTGCGTTTCAACATTCAACAACAACAACTTGCACTTATATAGCGCCCTCCACGCAGGCTAGTGTCTCAGAGCGGTTAAACATTCAGGATCAATCTGACAAGTATAAAACTCTAATTTTCCTGCCGAACCAAGATGGAGGAACTGAAATGATGAACAGATACTCAATAGCAACACCCTCCCTCCGGCTGTTCAGATTCTTCACTGGTCGAGCTCAAGAGTTTACAGAAGTCACGAACACAAACTAAGATTCTGCCCACAGAATCAGCAAATATCTCCACACTTCCTAAAAATATGAAACTATTAGAAACATTTTTTTATGAAGCGCATTGGCTAGAAATGACAATGCAGTCAGCTCATATTGTGAGATAAAACAAGGAACAGAACTTAGCACCAACCCCCTCCAGATAACAACAGTGACAATGTGAGTCACTGCCAGCAATGCAGCTTTACAGCGATGATCAATGGTAACTTGACAATTACTGTACGTTTACAATATTGTAATGCTTCAAATGTTAGGTTGCCTTCCTTTGGATGAATCATTGAAACAAGATCGCATTTACCTTGATGTTAAACAGGAGCTGAACTTGAAAGATCCTATGACACTATTGAAAAATAGTTGTCTTGGCCAATAATCCTCCAGATACAGCATATTGGTCACTGCCTCCCTGGCTGTTAGACCTTGGTGTGCACAAGTTGGCTCCTGCATTTGCCAACAAATAGTCACTACACCAGACTGCCTGCGAAACACTTTGAGATGTTTCAGCATCAGAGACGTGAGATCAAATGCAGGATTATTATCATTAACAAAATGTTGTTGTGACTCCCTCTCTCATTGCTCCAATTTTGTTTTTACTCCACACGCCTGATAATAATCTCTCCAAAAAAAAAAAAAATTGGTCATTTCAATCTACGACTGTTTGTGGGACACTGTTGTGCACAATTGGCTGCCACATTTCACCCACAAGTATACAGTCAATTCACTTTACAGTCTATTCTGTGAAGCGCTTTGAGACATCTAGAAGATGTGAAAAGCGCTATATCAAATGCAAAGATTATTATTATTATTAGTTGCCTTTGGTTGCTTCAGCGACAGTTCAGAACCTAATGTAAAATCTGGAGACCTTTAGAACATTTGAAGTTACCTTCTTCTGATTTACATTGCAAAGCAAACCATTATTAATCCATTTCATTTATACTTAGTGTAACCGCTGGGTTACCAGCTCAGTGAAAACAAGCCTCACTTCTCTTAAATTGCCTTCGACAAAAATCTTCATTAGGATAGATCACCTGTAATCACCTGGGGTGGGGGGTCTAATTCAGGAACACAAAAACAGCAAACACCAGTTACTATACACATCCTGATACCAACCTCGCTGCAAATCCACCCTCCACATCCCACCTCCTTACCCCGCTCCACTGGAAGTGAATCCCATACGCTTGTATACAGTCATTACACTTTACAATGTATTCTGTGAAGCGCTTTGAGACATATCAAAGACGTGATAAGGCGCTATATCAAACGCAAGGATTATTATTATTATTCTAAGAACGTTAAAAAGGAAAGCGAGTGGCTCACAAATTTCTCCAGTATGAGGCAATCATTACACATCACATTTCAGGTGAGTGAAGCGTGAGTAAAGCCCAGCAGCTAGTTGAATGTTTAATTACATGTACAGTATACAACATTGCTCAGCAATACCTACAGGAAGAGTTGACACTGAACATTCCTGCCACATGGACAAGGTACTTACAGAACCAGATATAAGGCAAAAATATGATCAAAAAAAAGGCTTTTTTGACCAGAAATGTCTCTCTCGTACAGTAGAGAAACGGGAAACGTTCGTCTCAAAATTGGCACTGGAAACATAACTAAGCTAGACTGGGAATATTTTAATTTGCTCTCTCCCCTCCCATTTCTCAGAGTGTGTGCCAAGGATGTACATACACACACGTGCGCGCACAGACAGTGACATACACAGACAGGTTAGCTTCATAGAAAACACAGAGAAACAAAGAGATACAGATAGAGAGTGGTAAAGATAGAGACACACACCTAGAGAGAGAGAGAGAGAAAGACACACACATACATAGATATACAGATGTAGATAGACAAGTGGATTGCTAATATCATGGTGTATGTAGAGGTGTCACTGCCAGTGTCAGGCTACATTGAGATGTCATCTACAAAACACACAGTCACTCCACTTTACAGTATATCATGTGAAGCGCTTTGAGACTTAAAAACAAATATTTCTAGAGAGGGACACTTGAAGCCCAGAGAGGGTAGCCTGACCCACCAAGAGGTTTCAGTGAGTGGTTGCAGCCGGGGTCAAGGCTGGTTACCGGGCGGTGAAAAGGGGCAAAAGTGCCGTCCTGGGGCAAGAAAGGGCGAAATCAGCTCCCGATCCCCATCTACATAACAACCACTTGCATTTATATAGCGTCCCTCACCAGAGTAGCCTCGCACAGCGGGTACAGTGCAGCCCACACTGGGTGCAGGTTCTCCCCCATCCAGGCTGTTCAACCCCTCCGCAGCCTCTCCCCACCCCCTCAACCTCTCCCTCCCCTCAGCTTCTCCCTCCCCTCAGCCTCTCCACCCCCTCAGCCTCTCCACCCCCTCAGCCTCTCCACCCCCTCAGCCTCTCCCCACCCCCTCAGCCTCTCCACCCCTCAGCCTCTCCACCCCTCAGCCTCTCCACCCCTCAGCCTCTCCACCCCCTCAGCCGCTCCCCACCCCCTCAGCCTCTCCACCCCTCAGCCTCTCCCTCCCCTCAGCCTCTCCCTCCCCTCAGCCTCTCCCTCCCCTCAACCTCTCCCTCCCCTCAACCTCTCCCTCCCCTCAACCTCTCCCTCCCCTCAGCCTCTCCCTCCCCTCAACCTCTCCCCCCCTCTCAGCCTCTCCCTCCCCTCAGCCTCTCCCTCCCCTCAGCCTCTCCCCCACCCCCTCAGCCTCTCCCTCCCCTCAGCCTCTCCCCCACCCCCCTCAGCCTCTCCCCCCCACTCCCTCCCTCGGCCTCTCTCACCCGTCAGCGGGCCTGCCCCGGCCCCCGGGCCGCCCCGAGCCGCTTACCGGCGCCGAGGTTGTGGTGCAGGCGGAGCGGCGCCCGCAGGATGTAGACGAGGCCGAGCAGCAGCAGGAACCACAGGCCCCACAGGCAGCTCCAGCTCCAACTCCAGCCGCCGCCGCGCCGCAGCCGCCCGGCCCCGGCCGCCCCCAGCCCCGCCTCCGCCATCGACCGGCCTCCCGCCCGCGGCACGCCGGGATACTGGAGGACTCGTCCCAGTCCTCCCAGCCCGCGCGGCGCCAGACAGCAGCGGGTGCGCGCTCGCCATCAGGAGCGAGTGTAGTGACTGTGAGCCCTGGGGGGGGGGGGGGGGGGCGCTCTGCGGGAAGGGCGTGACATAAGTGCAAGTTGTTGTTGCTCACGAGTGTAGTGACTGTGACAGTGCCTCATAGGGAAAAGGACAAGACTGTCTGAAGACCCGCCTCCTTGACCCCCCCCCCACTCTCTCCCCCCCACCCGCCCTCCTACCCCTCGGCTCCTAACCCCCGGTCTGTCCGCGTGACACGGTGGTGCCATCTCCTGGCCTCGGGCACGGCAGCCACTGCTCGTTCCTAACCCTGGAACAAGCGAGTAATAATAATAATAATAATCCTGGCATTCGATATAGAACTTTTCACGTCTTCTCGACGTCCCAAAGCGCTTCGCAGAATAGACTGTAAAGTGAATTGACTGTATGTTTGTGGGCGAACGCGGCAGCCGATTGCGCACAGCAATGTCCCACAAACAGTCGTGGATTGAAGTGACCAATCTATTACTGCTTTGTTTTGGAGGGATTATTATTTGGCTCTGTGTGGAGTAAGGAAACTTGCCCAAGGTTTCCCCCTGACCTGCCTGGGATTGAACTCGGGTCTCTCACTTGCAAAGCGAGTGCTCTAACCACTGAGCTACAGGACTCCAAGTGTTGGCAGGTCATTGCCCACAGAGGGCCTCACAGTGCCTCGCTGCGTGCACACACCCACGCACACGCCTTCCAGCACAGGGTCACCAGCGACAGCAAACGGGAGCAAAGGTTTCCCTCAGGGAAACCTTTGCTCCCGTTTGCTGTCGCTGGTGACCCTGTGCTGGAAGGCGTTTGTATGTGTATACACACAGCGACGGTTGGGCAGCTTGAGATAGTTAAAGTGGAGTCCTGTACCTCAGGGGTTAGAGCACTCGCCTTCCAAACGAGACACTTGGGTTCAGTTCCAGGCAGATCCAAACCTTGGGCAAGTTTCCTTACTCCACACACAGCCCTAATAATAATCCCTCCAAACAAAACAATAATAAATTGGTCATTTTCAATCCACGACTGTTTGTGGGACGCTGCTGTGCACAATTGGCTGCCAGGTTTCGCCCACAAATATACAGTCAATTCATTTTACCGTCTATTCTGTGAAGCGCTTTGAGACGTCGATAAGACGTGAAAAGCGCTATATCAAATGCAAGGATTATTATTATTAAAGTGCTGCTGCTTGAGCATTTTGGAGACAAGGTGGCTGAGCGACTGGTTGTGCTGTAGGATTGTAATAACAGAATTGAGGGAACATTTCTTAAATTCAGTCTTAATTTGAAATAGAAAAAACATTTATTTTAAAGAACGGCACAAAATTGGCTTCTAAATTGAAACTGAATTTAAGATTTTTCCACAATCCTCAGTGATCGTAAATTTTAAGACAAAATGGTAAGACTGAGATGGACAGATGTTTGTTTGGTCAGGGTATCAAGGGATATGGGCAAGGAGGGTAATTGGAGTTGAGGTACAGATCAGCCTTGATCTTGTAGAATGGCGGAACAGACTCGAGGGGCTGAATAGCCTATGCCTGTTCCTATGTTTCTATATATTTCTATGTTTCTAAGCCTCAGATTCCTCTGATTTGAGGCCTGGACATGGCGATTCAGTTCCGCCGTGAACGAGCCAATTTTCCAGCTAACTGCATTACTGCACTGAGGCAATGAGTCAGTGCAGCCTTGGACATGTGTGGGTACGTGCCTGGGAGGGGAGGCTGCAGAAAGTAATCGTTCAGATATTTGGTCCATTACTCAACAAGAGACTGTAAATATGTAATGGCTAATTATAGTGACAGTCAGGGCTTTGTGTTTCAGGCCACATTTCTCCCTCCAGGGCAGAGATTGTGTCAAGCAAAGAAACACATCCTGTAAAGCAACAGAATCCAGGAACAAGTCTGATAGTGGCTCAATTTCCAAACATTTCCTGTGGGGAGACCAATACTTTCACCCCAATATAGTCAATTCTGTTTATAGTTATATTCTGTGAAACTCTTTGAGATGTCTCAATGATGTGATAAGCGCTTCACAAAATATACTGTAAAGTGAATTGACTATATTTTGTGGGCAAAACAATATTGCTACTGGTATCACTAGTATTATTAGTTTCCCTGGTAGAGCTAGTTTAGCTAGTATTATTACAAGTATTACTAGGTGCCCTGGTAGAGCCAGTTTACCTAGTATTATTACTAATGTTACTAGCCTCCCTGGTAGAGCCAACTAAACTAGTATTATTACTAGTATTATTAGTATTACTAGGCTCCCTGGTAGAGCCAGTTTAGCTAATATTGTTACTAGTATTACTAGTCTCCCTGGTAGAGCTAGTTTAGCTAATATTGTTACTAGTATCACTAGTATTACTAGCCTCTCTGGTAGAGCTAGTTTAGCTAGTATTATTGTTAGTATTATTAGTATCACTGGCCTCTCCGGTAGAGCTAGTTTAGCTAGTACTGGTACTCGCCTCACTCCTGGTAGAGGCGGCTCGGCTCAGCTGGTGGGGGTCAGTGTGGAGGCGAGGCCCCGCCCCCGGGCCGGGCGGCTCCCAGGATGCAGCGCGGGCGGGGCCGCTGGAGCCAAGATGGCGGATTTGGAAGAGCAGCAGTTGGGAGCCGAGGAGAAGGTGAGAGCGCGAAGGGGCGCCCGGCCCCGGCCCTCCCCCCGCGCCCTCCCCCCGCACCGCGCCGCCCGGCTCCGCGCTCCCACAGCGCCGCCACCCCGGCCTGAGCCCGGGGGGGGGGAGAGAGCGCGGGGGCTGGAGCTGAGCTGCCCCGCCCGCCCGCCGCCCGCCCGCGGGAGACACTCACTCACTCACTCACTCACTCGGGCCTTTCCCGCCGCCCCGGGCCCCGAGTTACAGGCACTGCCGCCGACCAGCAGCCACTCCGGGGCCACACTCGGCTCCGGCCCTGCGCCTCTCCCCACTGCTTCCGGGCCCCGCCCCGCCCTGGCCTGGCCTGTGCTCCGAGCGGCAAACGCAGCCTCGGGGGCGGGTACAGGCCGCTCCCTCCCGCCCTGACCCGGCTCCGCAGCCCCGCACAGCGAGCGGCCCAGCCCCGGCCCTCCTCAAGGGAAATCCCCGCCGTGTATCACAGGATCATCTGATGGCAGGAGATTCCACTGCAGCCGATGGCAATGTCTTCCTATTACTATTACTATTATTGTTATTATGATCATAACAATCCTCGCATTTGATAGAGTTTATGGTTATCACGTCTTCCAGACGTCTCGAGGCGCTTCACCGGATATACTGTAAAGTGTAGTGACTGTGCGGCTTTAGGCTGGTTTCTGTTTGTCTTTGTGAAAAAGTGGAACTTCTTTTTTCAAAAAAAAATCCCCCCCTCAAGTGGCACAGTGTTTCTAAATATTATTATTACTCAAGTAGTAGTATTAATTCTGGAGCTGGGAGCACAGGATGGTGCAAAGGGGGGGGTGGTGTGTATGTGTGGGTATGTGTATGTGCGAGGGGTGTGCGCGCGGGAGGGTACGTGCGAGGGGGGGTGTGCGCGGGTACGTGCAGAGGGGATGTGCGAAGGGGGCTGGGTGCGGGTAGGCGCGAGGGGGCTGGGTGCGGGTAGGCGCGAGGGGGCTGGGTGCGGGTAGGCGCGAGGGGGCTGGGTGCGGGTAGGCGCGAGGGGGCTGGGTGCGGGTAGGTGCGAGGGGTGGGGGGGTGCTGTGCGGGGTTGGTGGTTTGTATGTGAGGGTGTGCGTGGAGGGCGGGTGAATCCTTCCTCTTCTCACCTCAGTGACAAAGGTCCGACTGATAGGCTGATGTGGCCCCACACTTATCACCTGTGACATTTCGTCAGAATCTTCAGAGCTGTGATGACCTTTCTGAACGCTGTCCATGGGAGTTTTCCTGTTTTACTTTCCAAAGCTCTAGCTGTTGTTTTGATTGGTTTAAAAAATATCTTAATGCAATTTGTTATTGTCAGTAGATTTTCATCTTGTTTTTGCTAAAGTACCAACAAAGCATTGTGATAGTGTGGTAAAGGCAATATACAGCAAACTGGAAACATTAATCATTGAATGTTACAGGAAAGAATTGGGCCATTCAGCCCATCACACCTGTACTGGTGTTCTCTCCCTATGAGCCACCAAAACTAACGCCACTTTCCTGCTCACTCCCCATACCATTTAATATCCCTCTTTCAAGCATCTATTGAATTTCCTTTTAAAAATAATTGATGGACACTGCGTCAACTTCGCTTGTGGCAGAGAATTCCACATTCTAACCACCTGAAGTGTAAATATTATTTCTAACCTCGGATTTAATATGGCAATCCTGCATCCATTTATTTAACCCAGTGTACATTTTGTACTGGAAAAAGTATCTTAAAAATTCCTTGAACTTTCCTGTTTTCAAAAGTGCATGAGATGTATGTTTTTTCAAGGAAGTTTTCAAATATATATACAAATTGCAATTTACAGTACTTCCTTATATTTTAAGTCGAGAAGTTTGCACTGAAATCGCACTCTGTGACTGCCCGTTGTACTTCTGCTTTTGGAAATGAGTGGCTAAAATTTTGAAAGTAGAGTTTGCAATAGGATATCCACTAAACACTTGCTGACAATGAGCATCCCGGGTGGTGTTCACTCCAAATGATGGCGTAGAAAGTATGTGTGTTTTATGTAAAGCACTGTGACTGGAGGCAGTTGATAGTTCCTGTGGACAAACCCTGAAGCCCCGATTCTGTTGGCATAAGATTCCACATTGAGTGCACCTCAACTTGGATAATGAGCCACTAAGAGGTGGTGTTGGGTTTGAAGTAAACCCCATTTGTGTCTCTTAGAGGTTTTGACATTTTTTGAATAGGATTGATGAATTTTTTGTCTCGTTCTCTCAGTGTGGTACCTATAATTGATGGATTATAATAATAATCCTTGCATTTGATACAGCACCTTACCACCTTGGAAGGACAGATCAAACGCTTCAAAGCTTTTTCCTGTGAAATAGAATCCTTGTGTATTTAAATACTGAAGCCAATTTGCACACAGCAATGTCCCACAAACAGCCACAGAGTAAGTGACCATTTTTATTTGGGGGATTATTGTCCAAAACACCAGGAGAAACTCCCTTCTCTTTTCAAATAGCGCCATGGGATCTTTAACGTCCACCTAGGTCTAACATCTCATCCGAAGTATGGCACGTCCAACAATGCAACAGATGCCCAACACCGCAATAGAGTGTCAGTTTAGACTTGTGTGAGTTCAATGAAGAAAAGAAATACTTTTTTTTCTCAACAATTCACACCAGCTGATGTCATGCTATCCACAAACTGGAGGTTTTATATTTCAACAGATCATATCCGAGAAAATGCTGATAGTGCACACTGTACAATCAAATTGTGTAGAAAGGATTGGGGGAGGGGAATCCTGGATCGAGACCAGAACCAGTGTTTCGATAGTCAAATTCCTGTTCGGTTTAGTCCTGTTACATGCACCACCTGCAGGGATAAAGCAGCCGTTTGCACAACTTGATAACCTCTACAACTATTTCAAGTGTTTTACTAAACTTTATTTCCTGAATATTGGTATCGTGTTTGCAGTTGACAATACCTACAGTTGTATTGCAGCTTTACTGCAGATCACTGCTGCGGGTTTGTACTGTGATCCTCCACATTGGCACCACACATGTCTGGGGCGTGCTAGTGTGGGCTTGGGCTGAGAGGAAGCCATGCGGTGTGTGGGGGTGTAAATCTCCCTGAGATATTTGTGTGGTGCCCCTCCCTCTGGGGCAATGACACAAGAAAGGCAAACAGTAACAAATACTTGTTTAAAGGAATTTGTACCTTCAATAACAATACCCCAAATTTGTGAATTTAAAAAGCTAGAAGTGATAAGGATCAATGTCGTACAGAAACTGTGGGAGGGGAGTGTCAGAGATAAACACTTGTAAACCCTGTGACCCTAATGGATGTTCAGTAGCAAGGCGGGTCTGCCTGCTGTAATCATATTTTCTAGTCGTTGCTTCCTTCAAATTGGCTCCTAATCCAGCATAGTATATCAACAACAACTTGCATTTATATTGCGCCCTTCATATAGGGTGGGGTCCCAGAGTGTATATCTCCATGGCTTGGCACAGTGATGGTATATACTGCAGGACTATATTTACAATAACTACTCTTACCAGAGCTGTACACTACCAACACTGGGTGCGGCAGGATTTCTTTCACACCTGTACTGTAAGCTGTCATGTCAGTCTGGAGACGGGATAGGCAATATGTTGGAGCTATGATTCCCTGCATTGTGGAGTGAAGGTAACTTTCCTGTTCACATAGGCTGGTTGGGGTTTGAGTTCCAGCCTTTGTGAGTTATGTATATCTATGTATATCTGCCATGGCCTGACGGACGATAGCTACAGTGGAATGAGACTGCCATGGGATCCCTGCTTGGCAGTGGGTGTCGTGTCAAACTTCACTCGCTGCTAAACTCAATCCTTGCCCCTGCACTGCTGAGGATCTGTTACCGCTTTCTCAGCTCTATGTGCCAGCCTGTAATTTGTGCTGGCAACTTTGCCTAATAAGTTGGTAAAAATGAACCGCAGCGTGGAGGTCTTGATAAACTCAACAAATAGGAAACTATCTGGAGGAAGTTCCAGTACTTTGGTTTTTAATTCACATTTAGTTGTAAAATTTCTTTAAGAAACTTTCTCAATGTTTCCCCCTCTCCTGTGGCTTTCCTTGTCCTGGAGTACTTTCCCATCGGCTCAAGTGAATTTTTCCTGTGTGTGCGCGCAGGAACAAATCCTGGTAGATCATCCTCTCCCAAACAAAAGGGCACTGAGGCAGATTGCTGCCTCCTGACTGAGATTAGTAACTCACCACAGAGCTGGGATTAAACCTGCAAACAGTCTGTACGTGCACAAAGTGCTGGCTGTATCCACTTGTCTTTCAGAGGAACCAACTACAACCAGTTTTCTTTATGTATAACCATCAGAAAGTAACTATACTGCAGCATGTCTATCACTGTGATCTCACACCAGTGAAATGGAGGCGAGAGTAGATGGGGTTCAGGTTAAACTGATTGTTGCTATCAGAGTGTAGGTTTTTAATTGATGCGATTGTGAATTCTGTATGGAACTGGGAAGAGCTGCATTGTATGAAGTGCTTGTGATAAGGTGATAGATCAGATTTACTCCATATTATTTACTGTGGTTATAGAAACCCAGATCTGTACTTTTTTTTAAAAAAGCGCGTTATTTTAATGGAAACTTTCAAAGCTATAAAGTTTGCTTTCCCCAGATTGGGAATGAAATGGTTGTTAGGTTGGAGAGGAAATGAAAAGGGCTGTGCTCTAAATTTGTGAGTAACCTTTTATGGTTTGAAACATGACAAGTGCAGAATTTGGAACAAGAGGGAGGATGTGTTTAGTCGGATAGTTTTTATTTTTGAAAATGCAATCTTATAACTTCAACTGCGCCTTCAGTCACCTTCTACCTCTGCCCTCCACCCCTCCTGATCCCAATCCCCAGCTCGGGTCCAAATCCCTGATTGTCCGGAGCCTTGGGACATCCTCCTGACTTGAAAGGCACTGTGTAAATGTAATGTGTTGTTTCTGTTAAAATGTAATAAATCAGGTTTTGCTTTGAAAGGATACGTAATAGCTTTTCATTAAATTCTT